TTATATAGAGATGAACACATCTAAATAACCAGCCCTGTATTTAGTAGCCAATGTTTACATAGAGTTTTGATATTTTTCTACTAAATGTGTCTTGTCATATCAGTAGATTACACAAATCAATCCAAATATTTAATTGAACGTTAGCTTGAAAATCAATAACAGAATCCAAGGCAGCGTCACAAGACATGATTAACTTAAATCAAGTTTTTAAAAACAATTAAATATTTCGACTGTACTCTTAAGAAGAAAAACAAATTACACTATTATAACAATAAACATAATTAAATAGAATTTTAACGACCTTTGCCCTACTTACAATTAATTATTTTAACAAAATACATGATTAATTCAAAATTCATTTCAAATATCAAAGACAAAATTCTCTGTGAATTAAGAGAAAAATTACAAATATATAATTGAGAGATAAGAGGCCTACTGTTTAAAAATTTGTGACTTGCATGCAATTTCTACAAGCGTAGATCATATCTGAGTATAGTCGACCAAAAGGTTAGCTCCCCTTGGTGACTGCAAATTACAAAAAGCAAAGAAAACAAAATATACTTATTCATAGATTACATTTTTATATTTTAAACTATTTATAGTAACAAATTATCTTAAAATATCTTCAACTCTCCTTGAGTGATCCAATTTTTTTTTTAACGTTTTTTAATCTACTTTTTTTAACATTAAAGAGGCCCAAGAGAAGTTAACTTGGAAAGTTTAATAAAAGAATTATCATTATACACAAAAAAACCAATTGTTTCTATAGCAACAAATATTTTAAGACGTCTTACATGTGTCTCCATGACAGCAATGCATCATCCAATTTAATTAGTTTATTTTAACGACTTACAGCTCAAAAGCTACGTTGTTTTCTTAAATTCTGCATTTTATATCCATTAAGTTTTAAATTTCTTTCTTTAATAATTTTTGCAGAATTTGTACCAAACCATTTAAGGCATTTTATCAAATAAGTGCTTATACATTCACAGACGAAGAATTTCATGCACTAAGCATTTTAAATCCATGTCACATTTTTCTTAAAACTTTGAAATCATACATCCACTAACCCACTTTTACATTTTTTGTTATTTCACATTTGTTATGTTTGGTTTAAGACTGACTCTAGGCTACGAGAAAAATCTCTTTAAGATTATCTTAAAACATCATGAATCCAAGACATTTGATTGGTTAATGCTGGTATAGTATCAACCAATCATTTGCCTTATTTTCAGGACTCCTGGAGAATCTTTGAAGTATATTCTGGATAAATTCTCTTGTTTAAATTAAAGACATGAATTCAACTGAAAATGTCTTTAGCGCTAATTCTTAACAGATGCCATATTTCCTACCATTTTACGAAGAACTTTTACATTTTGACGTAGTCATACACTAGAGGGCTAGAAACATTCTTTAGTTCAATTATCTATATCAAAAGCAATATTTTAAGAAGTTGACAGGCAACTCTGAGATGTTACTATAAAATCACAGCCTATAAACTAACAAACATATTGCTTTATGTTAACACTCTAAAATCAACAAAAACTTAACATATCTTCAACACAATGGTTTCTCTTGAAAAAATCGGCAATTAACAGTTGAATATTTTTATGGATAAATGCCCGTAGCAAAAAGCTTGTTTCACCAAAATTCACATATGGTCAAGATAATGGTTTCTCGTAAGAAAAAAACGAGGAATTCCTTAGACCTTTTTTATTAGGTTTGTGACAAATGCATAAGCTATTTCCAAAGAAAGAACCATTTCTTAGACAACTATCGAATTAAATGCAAGATATTTGTGTAAAATCGTTGCTATATTTAATATCTTAATTTGACTAGATTTGAACTTAAGCTACCTGATTCTTATAAATTCGCCCGGTAAACAGTCCTTCCACCATTTTCTTTCTTCTTTTCTGTCTGTCTTGTCTCCATAACAACAAATTTCTTGTGCATGATCGTTAAATAACAAATAACAAGTACAAAACGTACAAAAAATACGCCTCATATTAACGAATTTCGTGTAAAAAAATCGGTTTATATAGCACTCATTCTTCATCCATACATCAGATGCCATTTTATTGTCATGACAACACTATGACATCATAACCTTATGAGGTCATAACATATTGTTTGATGTTCATTTGTAACAAAATGGCTGCTTCTAAAAATGTTTCGAAGTCCTTTGGCATTGATTGATGCACCATATGACATCACACGTCGTTACGAAAAATTGCATCACAAAAACGTCAATTTATAAAAAACTATGGCAACGACATTGTCATGACATCATAATGATGTTAATCACTATAGGATGCTTATAGCATAGTTTCTTTACCACTTGGGTATAACAGATGAATAGAGCACTAACTTTATAATGCCCGTAATAAGTCTTAAAGGGTCTGTCCCTTTTTATAGGATAGATAACTGAATACACAAACAGTTTATCTTTTTTTCAAATTTGTTGTAAGTCTGATAATGTCAAGGGAACTTTCAACTTAAACAAGGGTGAAATTAATATTTCAAATTCATGTCCTATGGTATTATTTGTTCGATCAATAGAAATAAATTCAAACAATTTAAAAACCGTGTTGTGGCCAGATTTTATTTATTCAGCCAAAAAAAATGAAGAAATCTGATTGCCATGGAGTATCAACGTTAAGTCTCAACATAGAAGAAATATAAAATTCAGAAGAGATCAGAATGTTATTTTTCAAGGTTTTCAGAAATAAAAAAAATTCAGTCCCTTAATTCAATTTTTTAGAAAAAACATTTTCAGTGAATTTTAATAGAAAATTCCACCATTATTACAAGTTGAAAGAGGGTCAAGTTTGGTCAAGGAATATGTTATTATTTAGAGTAATTTAAGGACTATTATCAAATCCTGCAGCAGACGCCTCCCCAGAAGAGAAATTAGAGTCAGCGTTAAAGTTGTTGATAGCCCCAGTGGCTTCATCAGCATCTGAGAATACTCCGATGGGTTCATCAATAACTCCTCCTTCTCCCTCGGCAGGATTTTCCTCTGTTGCTGCCCCTTCTTCATCATCCCCTCCAGCTTCACTGAAAAATATTTTCAAGTCAGTTGATTAACTGTCAAAAAGTACCGGTATACATAACTGTCAAAGAGTATACATAACTGTCAAAGAGTATACATAACTGTCAAAGAGTAGACATCACTGTCAAAGAGTATACATCACTGTCAAAGAGTATACATAACTGTCAAAGAGTATACATAACTGTCAAAGAGTATACATCACTGTCAAAGAGTATACATCACTGTCAATATACATAACTGTCAAAGAGTATACATAACTGTCAAAGAGTATACATCACTGTCAATATACATAACTGTCAAAGAGTATACATCACTGTCAAAGAGTATACATAACTGTCAAAGAGAATACATAACTGTCAAAGCGTATACATAACTGTCAAAGCGTATACATCACTGTCAAAGAGTATACATCACTGTCAAAGAGTATACATCACTGTCAAAGAGTATACATAACTGTCAAAGAGTATACATAATTGTCAAAGCGTATACATAACTGTCAAAGAGTATATATTTTTGTCACAATTTGTCAAAGGTAGACCCACCAGCCGGGGCCATTAGCTGCCACTTATACTGATTTCTTTTCAGACAGAATCTACCAGACATCTGTGAGAATGTTAACTGTGAGAATGATTCACAACTTTATGTTGTAATATTGTCTCATACATTTCGCTTATGGTGGCCAGGATGTACATTGGACAATTTAAAGTCGGATAGGGGTACTAAGAATCCAAAAGGTTGCTTTTAACAGTTTAGTTGTTACCTTTTGTACAAATACTTCCCTTAGCAAAGTGGAAAAAGATTACAAGTGGAAATATAATCAATGGAAGAGAGATCCACAGCAACTCAGGTACGAAATTTATAACAACTGGTTTTCTTTTCTACATTTTTGTTGATTGTTGTTAAACAAGACATCATTTTGTAATTCTGAAAAGCTATATGGACAGCTCTATCAAAAATGTTTTGAGAGCTAAATCTCTTAAGTTATGATTTTTTGGATACAAGTCATATTTATCCTAACTGGCTTCACATCATTCAATTTTGCACCTCGCCTAAATTGCCACTGAATAAAAATAGATATCTTACTCGTTAGAAGTATCGACTGTTACTCCACGCCCTTTTGGTTTAGCAGCTTTCCCTTTCCCAGCTCGGGCTCGATACTTAACAGCTGGACGTCTGACCTGTCTTGACATACGGGGGTAGCCTCTTGGTGGAGGAGGACCTTCGTAATAATCATAACCTCTAGGGCCATAATAATCTTCATAATACTGAAACAAATATAGATTGAAAATTTCATTCAAGATATAAACATCTGTATTTCTGTACTACCACAAATTTACCATAAAAGATGGATTGGATTCTATTCAAAAATAGAATGCTTGCATGACTGAGGACACTCTGGACCTGCAGGTTAGTGAGCAAGGGTCGAACTCACTGAGCCACCCCATCCCGGCAGAAACTACCGGAACGGTATCTTAACTCAAATACAAAGTTTTCTCACGTGAGAGAATATTTTTTACTCAAATCAATAATTGATCCAAATCAAAATATACAGTTAATTGATACATAAAACTTAAAAGTTTGTCATAATTTAAAACAATTTTTCATATCCCTTGCCTGGGGTAAATTTATGTTGGATACAATACATGGTTACAATTGATGAAACATAATATAAAAATATAAAATACCTGTTGTCTGAATCCTCTAGTAGGATACATGGGTGGTCTGCCCCTGATAGGTCTATTGGGTAGATATCCTCTGTAAAATATAATGGAATACATTGGCTATTAATATAGGATTTAGGATTATAATACCAACAAATGTTTCCAAAAGTCCTGAACAGGACAGAACAGTTTCACTCAAGGTCAAATGTCCAATATGACATTAGAGATATGATGGAGATGCAGCTTTATCAGTGTGTTCAATTTGCAGAAATAAAAACTAATTATTATTAGGAGTCCATGGCCAGTGCTTCTGGATTCACAAAGCACCAAGATGACGAATAGAAATTTGTTACAAACCTTCGACCACCACCAACAGACATAATCTGAGGAGTAGGACCTTGACGACCTCGTCTACTAGGTACATTGGCTCCCCAGCTACCAACCACTACACCAGCAATCTCTAACTGTCCACCTCTAGCATCTACTGGTGAACGACCTGAAATCATGGAGAATTCTCATCATGTGTAAAATACTATAAGGCTACAATGAGATATACTTTTTTTTTCTATATATTGTTTTGTAATTTAAGAATTGCACAATTCTTCATTCAGCAATACAAGATGAAAACGATTCCCTGCACCACCATTTTCTGCATGAGTCAATGTTGCGACCCAAAACAAAGAGTTACCAAGCAAGATGTTATTGAAGATATTTTCCATATATCAAGGACTGACACTCAGGAAATATTTGTTGAATCGTACTCAAATTTTAACTTATTTAAGATCTTGTGTATATAGTCCTTCACCTCATCTTCTAAATACGTTAATTTTATATTTTATTTTGTAACAGACTTACCAAGCAGTCCCCTGCCACGCCCTGGTGAGCGTTGTGGTGTGGAGGGAGGGTAACCAATACTAGACATCTGATTAGGATAACCACCACGACCATAAGGCATCCTGGGGGCACCTGCTGGGCGGTAACCTATTGGTGCACCGTGGGGGAAGGAGGGGTAGTTGCCATAAGGACTAGGGTAAGGATTAAACATGTTGGCAGGGAGTAACGGTTTAGCAAACTCGGCTCGTGTGTTTTCTAAGATGGCTTGTCTCATTCTCTCTACTCTTAACACTTGATCAACCTGAAAAAAAATATCATATTGTAAAATATCAATTAAAAGAAAACTGACTCTATTTCCATTTACATATCATCATCATGTACGAGCAATCATTAGAAAGATTGTTATAACATTATATAGTTTGTTTATTCAATTCCAAGTTAAACGGACATGTTCACCATATTATTGACCAACATAGTCTCAGAATCAGGAATTTTTAAGCTGAGCCAATCAGTAATAGTGTTCACAGCTCATTGTCAAAATTTGACTCTTCAAATCCATGTGTGTCTAGAATTATGCGCATCAGAAAGTTGAGAAGTTCCTAAGAAGAGATTCAAAATGTATATAAAATATAGTCCATGTAAGCAAAATATCAAGAAATTTATTTACCTGTCCATCACACATATCTATCAAAGGAGTATTATTATTAGCTTTTAGTAGTTTAAAATGGAATAACTTTCCATCGAAAAATAACCAAGGACAGCTCATATTCCAGGGTATAGGTGCTCCACATACATCATTAGCAAATATAGCTGTTTCTACACCAGACATAAATAACGAGGCCAGTTGAATACCTCTAGGATGGATGGCTGGTAACTGAAATTAATCCAAAGTTTTCAAGTTCAAATCTTCAGTAAACAATTAAAAGCTAAAAGCATGATCAAAATCAACTGCTTATTCATTTTTTTTAATCTAGTTTTTAATCAAGCAAAAATTGACATTAAACCAAAATTTTCCAATTCAAATCTTCAGTAGTCTTACAAGAGCTTGTTTGTATTTACGATGGCCTAGGCCAGCGGCTAAAACGATCGCAACTGATTCAGCACTGGCAACTGTGATCTACAGGATGGTGACAAATTCTGACTGTTTTAGTCAAGTTTTCACACTTTTATGCTCAAGTTGAATTAAACTAGCGATTATCATCTCAGACATTGCTAGTTATTAGTTGTTGAAAATTCAGTTTCTCTCAGATTCTGTCTGTTACAAGGTCGAGCAGCTATAACACTTGAGAGAATTAAACTATTGCTCCATACTATACCTTCAAATCCTGCATAGTTTGTACATCAACTAATAAAGGTGAAACAGCCATGGCTAAAAACGCATCTAATTCTTGTCGTTGTATAACACGCCCAAACTGTACAATATATCTACAGTATAAATAGTTAATAGTTATAAAAGATATACACAAGAAATATCTCAAAAGATATAACATACTCTATCAACAAATGATAATATTTTTTGTTGTAGGCATGGTAGGCACAGAGTTTTCAGTCTCTTCACAGAACCTTATCATATTCTTCAAGAAATGTTCATGTTTGGAGTCTATATTGTGACTTCACTTTGAGATATTTATAATAAATTTGGCAATATACTTTCAAGAGATGACGACCTGATATTGGTGGAGCTTCTAGTTTTTTTATTGACACTTGAAGTCATGCATGATGGTTATTACATAAAATATTTGGCTTAAAACTCGTCAAAATATTTCTATTTTTTTTCTTTTACTTTTCTCTTTGGTCAATTAAGGTTTTATTTAAAAAAATAACCTATCTATCAGCAAGCACAGCTACTGTAACTAAAGACAAGCGTTCTAAATACTGTTATTAATATAATACATCCCTACCTTAAAACACAGCACATGACTAGTAAACATTGAGGAACATAATTAGTATTTAACATCAAGGGCGATTCACTCTGCATACAAGTCAAAAAAGCTCGTAGACGTCTGTTCTTGTCCTCTGCATTCTGTCCGAGCCACATTCGTTCCACGCTGGGGGTCTTCCATTCCACTGGTTTGGCGATCACCAACTCAAAACTGGGTCGTGTTGTTCCTCGTCGGATCACCCATTCTTTGACGGGAATATCAAAACATTTTGGTGTACCTGTACTGGGTTCTCCTATAAAGAAATTTAAATGAAATAGAATTTAACTTTTAAGGAAATGAAATGAATTGAGCTTAACGTCCTACTCTTCTGCACATCATTAAGCTAATGGATTTCGGGCAACGCCATACAGTGTGCAATGAGGGACTGAGATAATAAATAGTCATGGTAACACAAGATTTTTAAATTAGCCAATCACAACCTTGCTAGTAGCCATTTTTATATATTTTGTTAGTAAATATGAACTCAAAACTTGTGAATAATAGGAATAAAGGCAACCCCCTGACAAATGCTGTGTTGATTGGTTAAACAAAGCTGATTTTGAACCACAGTCCTAATCTTATTGATAAGTGAGTGAAGTCTTAATGATGATGGTAACATCATAATCAGGCTTAACATTCAAGAGATTTCTTGTTAGCATTTTGATTTTTTTATATTCCAGAAACCAAACTCAAGATAGCCATGTTACTTTAGTTACTTTCCCTTTATAAAGAACTGAATAACTGAAAATATTGAAATTCTGTCTCACCTTTTTCCTTTTCTGAAGTTTCATGTATAATTTTGGTTTTATTTAGATTGAATAAAACTGAGTAAACTGTTTGACGTATTGGTCTAAATAGGTCAATATAGGATGGTAATTCTCTATTGGTATCATCTTCTAATACAACTGGTAGTTTTAACTCCCCCTGAAATTAACAATACATTAATATTAGTATCATCTTCTAATACAACTGGTAGTTTTAACTCCCCCTGAAATTAACAATATATTAATATTAGTATCATCTTCTAATACAACTGGTAGTTTTAACTCCCCCTGAAATTAACAATACATTAATATTGGTATCATCTTCTAATACAACTGGTAGTTTTAACTCCCCCTGAAATTAACAATATATTAATATTAGTATCATCTTCTAATACAACTGGTAGTTTTAACTCCCCCTGAAATTAACAATACATTAATATTAGTATCATCTTCTAATACAACTGGTAGTTTTAACTCCCCCTGAAATTAACAATATATTAATATTAGTATCATCTTCTAATACAACTGGTAGTTTTAACTCCCCCTGAAATTAACAATACATTAATATTGGTATCATCTTCTAATACAACTGGTAGTTTTAACTCCCCCTGAAATTAACAATACATTAATATTGGTATCATCTTCTAATACAACTGGTAGTTTTAACTCCCCCTGAAATTAACAATACATTAATATTGGTATCATCTTCTAATACAACTGGTAGTTTTAACTCCCCCTGAAATTAACAATATATTAATTTTAGTATCATCTTCTAATACAACTGGTAGTTTTAACTCCCCCTGAAATTAACAATACATTAATATTGGTATCATCTTCTAATACAACTGGTAGTTTTAACTCCCCGTGAAATTAACAATATATTAATATTGGTATTATCTTCTAATACAACTGGTAGTTTTAACTCCCCCTGAAATTAACAATATATTAATATTAGTATCATCTTCTAATACAACTGGTAGTTTTAACTCCCCCTGAAATTAACAATATATTAATATTAGTATCATCTTCTAATACAACTGGTAGTTTTAACTCCCCCTGAAATTAACAATAGGTTAATATTAGTAGTCAGGTGTCCCAATAAACAGGCCATCAAATTTCAACAATTACAAAACTGAGACTACTGAGACCACAACATTATCCTACCTGTGAGAGAAGTTGATAAATCCAGGAGCACATCAAACCTTTCTGGTGTCGTTCACTGGCAATACGCATGATCTCAGGGGTGACGGATGGTAACTTGGTACCTGGTTGTTTTTTAGGTTTATGACTAACAGTTATTCCAGGGGATGTAGGTAATACACCAGCTGAAATATCAAAATTAAAATGATAAATATAAGTTCATAAATAAACAGAACAGATTATTTTTAAGCATAAAGAAGAGTAATTATAGGCCTTCATTTTGAGAAATGTTTATCAATAAAATAAGCTAGCTTAAGCTAGTAGAAAATGAAATAGCATGCTCTATTTCATACAAATTTCCTTATAAAGCAATGAAGTCTGCCAGTGCCATATAGGAAAGCCTAGCACCATATTTTAGAGTGGTTTGACTTACCAACACTAGGATGTAGAGGTTGACTATCAGTCAAACTAAGTCCAGACAGCTGAGCTTCTAAACTAGAATCAAATCCATTCAATAATCCTTTATTTAACCCAGAACTATTGGCTAGGATATCTGGTGCATTGGGATTTAAGGTGTTCATATAGCCTCCAATCTCCTGTAATGGATGGAGGAAATTAATGAGAGTGTCTGAATGTGGCAATGAATAATTGTGCCAATGGATAAATGTGTCAATGAAAAAAATGAATGAATGAACCACTGAATGGTGCAATGAATGAAAGAATGTTTTAAAGAATTCTAGAGTGAATCAGGCAATGAACAAATGAGTTAAGTAATGGATGAATGAACAAATGAGTTAAGTAATGAATGAATGAACAAATGAGGCAATAAACAGAATGAATGAACAAACAAAAGCATGAATGAATAAATCAGAACAGAATATAAGCTTATCCTTAGTACAAAGGATCTAATTCTACACATGAAAGTATTGGCAAGCAGAATTAAGCACTGGAGTAAAGTTAAAATTCCAACAAGGCCAAATGAATATTATAAATGAATAAATCTGGCAACACTTTTTACCTGAGGTGATTTTTGTTCAACATCAGGGCGAGGATAACCTCCTACCTGTCCCTCAGGACCTCCAGCTGAAAAAAATCATATAATATTCAAAGCAGCTAACAAATTAAATCATATATAAACAATAAGCAAAGCAGATCATGCTTACTCTTTTTGAAACGCCTGATGGTACTTCTCTTTGTAGGAGTCCAATACCATATAACTTAAACTCTCAATTTTGCTATTCTTTGAACGAGATTTTGTTAAAGGAAATGTCTGGCTTGTACGGTTTTTTTCAATGAGCATCATAATTAGCCTTGAAGATATATAAACATACAATCTATCACTAGTCAAAGCAATGAAAAGCAAATTTCTTGACATTAAGCTTTTTAAACATAACTTACATATTAGGTCCATGTCTGTATTAGAAATGAAATGAAATGAATGGAGTTTTACGTCCTACTTTTCTGCACCATGTGGACTAATGAAGACGGGCAACGCCATGCAGGATGCGATGAGGGAAATTTTGCCAGGACAGCGGCACGAGTCTGCTCTTTTTCGATTTCCAACTGTCGAGGGATCTTTAACGTGCACAGCCTGTAGCACACGGGGCCTCCGTTTATTGTCCCATCCGAACGACTAGACGCTTTTTCCATGTCAGCCCCTCTAACATGCATCACTGACAGGGGGAATGTCTGTATTAGAGGAAACGAAACCTTTTAAAACTTTGTAACTTACATTTAGGTCTAGGTCTGTATTTGAGGAAACCTTCGTGAGTACCATTTAAATAATACTGGACACTCTGTTTAAACTTTAATATCATTTCATTCTTATTTCCTTTACTATTTCTGAAAATATCACACAACTAATAATATCTAATACACAGATACAAGTGAGTCCTAAATTTCAAGATGAGACAAGCAGAGATGTATGCATCCCATTGGAGAGACTTTAGCTGGATAAGCTGTTGACAGATTGTTAATAAAAAAAATTCTCAAAAACAACTCAGAGTTTAAGCATTTCAGTACCAGTAACCTTATTGGATAATAATAGCTGAATAAGTTCCCATTTATAGCCCCAAATAGTCCTAACATATAAAGCTGACTTACTTGAAGACAAGTTCACCAATAAGGTCAAGGTCGTCTGTGGCTGGAAGTTGACGAACAAATGTAACAACAGAGAGTATAACATTATCAGGCGATACCTGAAACGGATTAAATTAGATTATTGGTCAGAGAAAGATGGAGGTTACAAATTGCAAAATAATTTGGAGTATTCACACAAGAAAATCCTAGAATAGACCTCTTTACTTCAAAAATCCTACCTGGTTTGTTAACATCAGCCAATATTTTCATCACTGTCCGATCACATTGACAGATCACAAACCCTTAAACCAGATGCCGCTATCAATTAAAAAGTAACCCGTTTTTCCACCGACCCAAATAACAGCAAACAGAGATGTACGTACCTTTAATGGCTTCCCTTCTGTATCTAAACAAGAATTGAGTTGATTTCTGAAAAAATCGTAAAGATCTTCTTCTGGAAGGATGTGGTTACCTGCAGAAAAAAATAGAACACATACATGTATATAATGTTGGAATAAACCGCAGCTATGACAATGTGGTACCAGGTAGAGGGCATGCTTACCTTTCTAGACATCTGATACCACTTTTAATTATGAATTACTCACTGAAGACTGATATACTTCCTCATGTGAAAAGTTCATTAGACAATAATATGTTGTTTTAGATTTCTGGTTTTGAGTTGCAGTTCAGATCAATAGTACTGTACTGTCCTTTATTTTTGCAAAAGAGATGACAACAATCTTCAGGTCAATTTCGTCTTTCTGTTTGTAAATGTTCAAAATTCAAATTCATGTTATTGATCTGAAAATGTCCATTTTGGAGAAGACATTAGAAGCCAAAGAAATCATTTTGTATTTCTACCAGTCTCTCAAAGTAATGCATGTGAAACAACAGTTCCAAGGTGGAATGTTCCAGTCAAAGAATTCATAACTACATTAGTGAAAACTCACCCAACAAAGCAGCAAAAACACAAAATCTATTTGGATTTAAATCTAAACATTTAGCTATTTCGTCCATGATGTACTCTTTCGTTTCCAGAGAGCCTTTATAGGTTAACTTCAAATTATTGGATGAAAAATATCGTGGAGGATCGAAGATGGCGTACGTTGATTCTTGAGCTATGATGCCTTGTAGATTATGTTCTCGACAGAATCCAATCACCTCTTGGAAATGATCGTCCATGGAGCACGCAACAGTGACATTCAAATGACGTAAAGCCATACGTAAACTTCCCTTTAAAAAAACTGGGGGCATCCACCAAATCTTTGGGGGTGGTGTACCCTTGTTTTGCAAATGTCGTAAAATGGAGTGCACTTTTTTTTTCTGGTTTATTTGTTCAGTAAACCAATCGTTCATTCGTTCACTTTCCAACCCTCCATTGAAAAACACAACCAATTCCATGTTGGCATTGTGACAGGCTTGGACAAGATTAGTTAGGAAAGCTGTCATCCGATTCCACTGGCCCCCACAGACCCAATCTGAATAGTAACCCCCATAGAGTCGGTCCAAACAGCTCTCAGCATCAACAACAAGACAGAAACGGGCAGAACCTCCATATCGACCACGCCTTTTCGACACAAACCCACGAGCGATCTTCAGCAAATCTACCGACACACAGGCCGACGAACAGTTCGTTTCCAAGTAGTCTTGCAAAGAGTTTATCCCCATCTCGCAGATTGTAAGGTCCTAACTGCAGCACATAATAAATCGGCACCGCATCAAAGGTGCAAAAAGGGCGATCGTTAAAATTTAGGAAATGTAATGAGTGAATAAAATTATTCTATGCCATGTGCATCATGTAGAACATAGTCTCGATCAAAGAATTTGACATCATTTCAATGGAATGAAACGAGAATAATAGAGACTGGATAATAACAGTAAAAGACAAGTGCCCGGATATTTTCAGAGCGAATTCTGGGAAAAGATGACGAGAGATTTCATTCGAAGCTTTTCGTTTTTCATTTAGACCTTTGCCAGGAAGATATCCACTTAGTCGTTTCCTAAGGCCCCACTGCCTTAGTACAGGTGTTGCAGAAGACACACTGGGCTAGGTCACAAGTAGTAGGAGTGAAGAGAGAAGATACTCTCCTATAGAAACGCTGGGCTAGGTCACAAGTAGTAGGTGTTAGGGTGTATTGAGACGAGTCTCAATGAAAGCACTGGTCAAGATCACAGAGCAATAGATAAGTGAAAATTAGTTAGTCATTAGTATGATTTTAGTTGAAAAGACACACACAAACATACACTGCATGTTATATAATATACTGTATATAGCCATGGCACCAGTCCTGAAATAAGTATTCCCTGAAATGGTGTTAGGGTGTTAGAGAAGATACATTGGCCTAGGTCACAAGTAGTAGGTGTTACAGAAGATATTCTCTTATTGAAACACTGGGCTGGGTCAGTGTTAGTTGCTAGTTATTATAAAGATCCACCGCCCCCCTTACAAGTTTTTGTGGGAGTCACCCTTTAAAAGGACACAGTGGAGAATGATGATATTGTATTTTTTGCTAGAGTTCTCCGAATGACACGATTGTCTTGATTGAGCCAGTCACAAATTTTCCACCGTGACGTTTTAAAAATTGCGCAACTGGTCAATCCCGACTCAATATTAGGCAACTTCATTGAAGTATCCTGTTTAATATAGAATTCAGAAATGGCTTCGAGCAGTACAGATTTTCAACCAGGCACTGGAATTGCGCCTGCAACTCTTGTAGAGTTGGCAGTGTCATGTAGGTAAGGTGACAAAATCTTGTTTAACTTTATCTCAGCGTTTTTGGAAGAATTTCACGAATTTCTGTGTAGGATGTTTTGACAAAATAAGGTCGAAACAGTTTAGAAGTTGTACATTGTAAACAACTTTGACCTATTTATAAACTTTGTTATTGCTGGTAAAAAAATTTTATAAAGACAACCAAAGAGTAAATTAGGGAAATGAAGATAATTAAAACTTTTTTAAAAAATTATTTCTGGATGCTGTTTTCAATTAATCAAATTTGTTATGATAAAAATAATACAGTTATAAATTGATATTGCTTATGAAATATTTTCAAGAATTTATTTTCCAATATCCAAATAGGCTAGTAAATCATGTGATTTCTTTAGAATTCTGAATTATTTTTTTATGTGGATTTATTCGATAATTAGATATTGTCACAAATAGTAGTGGTAAATGTTCATCAAATTAGATTATTAGGCACCAGGCTACTCTCTGACTACATTGAGTTTTGAATTAAATTTTTTCTCTCATTCATTAGTAGGCCTGTAGGGCCTATTCAAAATAAAATTTTCTACTTTATGCCATTGGGGTCCATAGAAATACAGTTCAATGATTTTACATTTGAAATAGATACACATCCCTCCCAAAAAATACATGTGAAAATGACCTACTTTTTGGACTGAAAATTTCCCTCTGTAAAATCATGGTTACAAATAATAACTTTTCCAGTGGTTAACATTTTCATCAACCCAAAGATAATCCAAGACTCTAAGTAGTATTTTGTAATTGATATTTCAGTTCATATGAAAATGATTGCCAAAATTCAATTCAGAAACCAGTGTAGTCAGAAAGTAGGCTAGGTTCTAAAATTCCTTCTGATAATTCAAGGTTACAATTTTATCTACTTATAGGCCAAGTAGATACAGATATTTTATCCAAGTCTAGTTTGTGCTCTTTAGTGTCAATATTATAGATCTCCATGTATGTACAGTCTGGATAAACAAAAAAGACTTTTTGACCTTTCTTGATTGGTCACTCATTGGAATTTTGCTGGTAATTCTCTTCTAATTTAGCTAACTATGAATAAATTATGTGAGACAAACTGGTATTTTTCCAAGTCATTAGAACACCTCTACTTTCTATTCATATACCTATTAGCATTTTTGGTTTTATAAATGAAAATACAGGAACCCATCTTTAAATAAAGTAAGTTTTGATGCAACTGGCACTTGGCCAACTGCAAATGCATGACCTTATCTATCAGTTTAAATATCTTTATCTATTTGGCCCTACTAGCCTACTTGTTTTTTACTCTACATTAATCGTTGATTTAATGGTTAGTTTTCTTGAGACTCTGACAGTTTAATTCCAGGCCTATTCTTACAAGGGTGAAGGGTGAAAACTCATATTCAATTCAAATCAGTATTGGGTTTTTATTGGTAATTATAATGATTGGTTTGTTAAATTGTTATCATAATATTCTTTTATCGCTGATCTCCGTTAATTGAATGAGCGCTCACAACCAAAGCGATTTATAGGCCTGAATATATTTCCGAGCGTTTGATCAATTTTAAAACAAAACCAGCACTAGTTTTCAAATAACTTCTTTATTTCAATAATTTAAACTCAAGGTTGTTGACGAGATAATTCAAGGTTGTTGACGAGTTAACTCGAGGTTGTAGACGAGATAACTCAAGGTTGTTGACGAGATAACTCGAGGTTGTAAACGAGATAACTCAAGGTTGTTGACGAGATAACTCAAGGTTGTTGACGAGATAACTCAAGGTTGTTGACGAGATAACTTGAGGTTGTAGACGAGATAACTCAACGTTGTTGACGAGATAACTCAAGGTTGTTGACGAGATAACTCAACGTTGTTGATGAGATAACTCGAGGTTGTAGACGAGATAACTCAAGGTTGTTGATAAGATAACTCAAGGTTGTTGACGAGATAACTCAAGGTTGTTGACGAGATAACTCGAGGTTGTAAACGAGATAACTGAAGGTTGTTGACGAGATAACTCGAGGTTGTAAACAAGATAACTCAAGGTTGTAAACGAGATAACTCGAGGTTGTAGACGAGAGAACTGGAGGTTGTTGACAAGATAACTCGAGGTTGTAAACGAGATAACTCAAGTTGTTGACGAGATAACTCGAGGTTGTAGACGAGTTGACATGTAGACGAGGTGACTGAACACCCTGACTGTTACCTTGTCATCTGTTCTGTTATTGAACAGAAAGCACTGGCTCAGGTGAAACTTTTTGTAAAAACTATTGTGATGTCAGTGCTTGATTGCTTTAAATATATTAGTCTGATTGAAAAGTAGAAAGTAAATATTCAACAGAAATCACTGGCACAGGTTTAAAATATATCTACAAACTAAACAAAAGGCTAGAGATACAACTCTTGGCAAATAGACATTAAACTAAAAATATCTAAAAGATTATATAATTAACTAATAGACCTAATATACCTCTATAGTCTCATCAATGTCTATGTTATTTATTATATCATTTCTTTAAGTTTATTTATGTCATTCATTAGACAAACATTCTCTTGAAAATAGATTGCTTAGATCTCATTGATTTTCACTATGATTGGACAATATTTAACAGACTTTAAGCTTTCGACTTAGAAGAAAAAATATCTCATTTAATGGGTACTATCTTGTGCTCCCTCTACAGACTACAGATTTCAATTGTGGTTTGTACCCTTGACAAGATGATGCCTGTTCTTTTTTGTATTGACCATCTCTTTTAAGATCTCCATAATGCTCCGAACACATTGAAGTTACCATCAAATTTTTAGATGAAGAAGGAGCACACAGATTGAATTTTGAGAACGTACAACATTTTAAAAATTTTAAGTTCACCATAATTGGATGTTAAAATAAGGCCTGTGGCCTATGCCCCGTGCTTAAACTTCACAATGTCAAGCTATTACAAACTTCATCTTTACAATGTCAAGCTATAACAAACTTCATCTTCACAATGTCAAGCTATTACAAACTTCATCTTCACAATGTCAAGCTATTACAAACTTCATCTTTACAATGTCAAGCTATTACAAACTTCATCTTTACAATGTCAAGCTATTACAAACTTCATCTTTACAATGTCAAGCTATTACAAACTTCATCTTTACAATGTCAAGCTATTACAAACTTCATCTTTACAATGTCAAGCTATTACAAACTTCATCTTTACAATGTCAAGCTATTACAAACTTCATCTTTACAATGTCAAGCTATTACAAACTTCATCTTTACAATGTCAAGCTATTACAAACTTCATCTTTACAATGTCAAGCTATTACAAACTTCATCTTTACAATGTCAAGCTATTACAAACTTCATCTTTACAATGTCAAGCTATTACAAACTTCATCTTTACAATGTCAAGCTATTACAAACTTCATCTTTACAATGTCAAGCTATTACAAACTTCATCTTTACAATGTCAAGCTATTACATTGTTAAGATGCCTGTGTTTAAGATACCAGAATAATATCAACTAATCAAAAAAACAGTCTGGTTCAGGTAATAAGACAGTTAACTTAAATAATAATGAGTTGTCTATCAAAATCTCTGACAAGCCTTTAAAAGCTGTCTTATCTATAGTAGCTGGCTTTTATCAGCTTATAGTAGTTGTCATGCTATGTGACATGTCAAGGATTTGTTTCAAGTTCATTAGGAAAAGAATTCCCTGACCGTAAAGGACCATAAATTACACAGAGACCGAAGAAGCAGCTCCATAACTTTAATCAAAATGCAAAAGCCACTTTCAGACAGTCTTATGAAAATTAGACCAAACTTTCGTTCTGTTTCTTTTTGTTAGCCATTATTTTTGATATAGCCATTTCAGTTAAACAAAAGCTGATAAAAACGGAACGAAAGTTTGGTCTAAGTTTAATAAGATTGCAGCTTCAGATTGGTCAAATTATAATTTTACATCATGTGATTCTCATGTGGTCATTAGAACCTGACCGCAGTTAAAAACTTGTTAGATTACAATGATGAGCAAAATTATCAGAAAAAAGAATGAAATGTTAAATAAATTTTGAAAAAGATTGCACTCAAGTGTATATTTTGTGATTGAATATTTCTGTTTTTTATTTTTGTAGGAAGATAATTGATGCTGATGTATTTTCAAAATCAGACCCCAGTAAGTATCAACTTTATTTCAATTTCCCATTTTACTGAGGAGAAAATATGTTCTACAGTGGCGTTTCTTTAGAGGAGACAGTGGAATTGAAAAGAGACTGGCCTGGATTTGGCCTCCCTAGTTTCAAATTTCTCATAATTTAGTTCTTAAATGCTGTGAGTCCCCTTGACAATAAAAAGTGGTTGATGAGTTATTAAAACATATAAATTATACAGAATGAATTCAACCGAACAACCACGCTTTCGCATGCAGTCCTTCACGCTTCAGACCACTCATACACAAACATGCAACCTGTCCATATTTTGCCATCAGCCAAGTTAAAAGACAATTCTGTGACCCCTACTTGGCCCTTACATCTATTAGACTTATATTTATTAATTCTATTGTCTGGAGTGATCCAATATGCCTCACGGACCAACTTAATGTCTTCCTCATTGATTTTGTTGTCGAGTTGACAGTGACTTATAGATTGTGATTTGTATTGGACTGTCTGTAGCCTTCCTGCGACATATACCTATACATATCACAATCAATATAGGAATACACCTACCTAATCAGAAGACTACCAACTCAGTGAGGTAGACATAACATTATAGCAGCGTGGAGGGCCTTAACTACATATTATAGACATATCAGGCAAATGCTTATGAAGATTTTGACCCAAAACAATGACATCGGAAAAGATGGCTCTCAGGCACCCCCTCTAATAATTTTGCGCTGGGCTACACTCTGTGGAAGGATTTTTGCCTCATAGATGAAACGACCATGCTTATGGCCCTGGTATGATAATGATAGTTAAAAAGAAATGACTATTTAAAAGGACGATTAAATTAAAAAAGTTAATAATAGCCTTGACTTGAATTAGACATGCATCATTTCCACATCAAACAATATCTCTATAGCTACATACTTGAATATAAAGAGCCAAACATACATAAATGACGAAGACAATTGTGTTTACACTCCAGTAATGCTAGTGAAACCAATGTTTGATTCTTAAATACACCCATCTTTTAAAGCAATATTGCTGAAATCTATCTCAGTGTTTTTAACATTTATTAATTCATCACCTTATTCTTGTTTATTTCAGTGTGTGTTCTGTTTGTTTATGATTCTAAAAACATCAAATGGAAAGAGGTAAGACTGTAATTGTTTTTATAGAAGAATTTGTTTATAATGTTCTAAATTGGGATCTCTTAGCCAATTTTTTAATGTAAATATGCAGTGGGTGGTGCGCATAAGGTACAAAATATAATCATTTTATAAAGCGTAATCACTATTGAGATATACCAATATGTAGAAAACCCATAAAAACTGCCTAATATTTTACAAACTGGCTATTTGTACCGTCACAACGCATGTTCTCATTGGCTGCTAACAACGGTACAGATAAGACAGGACACAATCGGCACACTAATTTTTGGGGTTTTATTAAAGCTTGAAGCCATTTTGATTGTCAAGAATGATATTAAGTGGCTTTGTTTGGGTTAGGTATGGATGTCCATATGTTTTTTTAACGCCCAGTTTTGGACCCATTGCATTACGAATAGCCATGGCCAATTTTTTATATGCCTCAATGACACATCTAGATATTTTGTATCCTAATTCAGTAATAGCATGTAATATACCTATGATATAGATATGTCCTTACTTTTTTGTATCTTTAAAAAGTGCCTTATTTTAATGATAGATATGTCATAATGACCATATTACATTGTAGATATAACTTGTATTTTGTATCTTAAGTCAACAAGGGAGATAAAATATTCTACTATACCTACATTACGCCCTTATTTTCTTTGGTAAAAAAAAAGTTTCTTTTATATAAAGAAAAGCAATATCCCTCTTCAATTCTTTCTTGAAAGTAATCAGTTTTGTTTATACCCCTGGTTCCCAACCTTGGCCACTAAATACCTTTTAGGCCACCCTCTGGAAAGATTTTTTTGTTATATTTTATAGTTTGGAAGAACAGAAATTATTTGGAATAATTTAAATCCTGATTTTGTTCATAAATTTGTTATTCGTTATTATTTTGAACAGTTACAGAAGTTAAAATTTGAAATGTAAGTAGATTCAAAATTCTTTGATTAATTTAAAGGTTGGGGGACCATTTTGAAATGTCGAGATCATGGTCTTTGAACAGGCTCCATCTAATGCATTTTTGGTTACTAAAATTTATTGAAGAGCTGAGATCAAGAGGGTGTCTAAGTGCTATTTATCACTATTCGAGAAAAGGTGAAAAACCTCGAGTTGAACCCATTCTTTCAATGGAGATTTGAAACTTTGGGAGGATATATCACAGTTGTTAATATGATTATATCAAATTCTTTCCAGAGAATTTCAAGGGGAATTAATCTAAAGTGAAATCTGAAAATTTCACAACTGGCACTTAGACTCCTTCTTAATCTCAGCCCTTTGGAATTTTAAAATCATAGTTGAGCTCAGATCCCAACTTGTCTCAGCCCTGGAAATATCACCTTATCAAATACCTGCTGCAATTAGTATTTGCCTCAGTCCACCCATTGACAACAAATATTAATTAACAGAACAAAAGATATCGATACTTCTCATAAACGTCATCTCTACCCATAAATAATGGTAAGCTATAACTAATTATTAACCATATTGTTCTGGTATTTTTAGATATGATGTAGACTCTAACAGTGCTGATCTTTCAAAACATGTAAGTTTCTATTGTTTTAATTGTTTTAATTGTAAGTTAAAAGTTTAAATATCAAACAGATATCTAGCTAATACTATGTAGTCTCTCACACTGAATATGTCGAGGTGACCAACTCATGTGTCTGTGATTTCATGACAAGATTTATTAAATCAAATAATTTTGATATCTGTCTCCGATAGTTTTATCGTCTGTAAGACAGACCGTCATCATACAATCATGTGCTTGTGTCAGTTGGTGAAACTCTTGACTCTAATCCGTTCGTATGCTCGCACATTTTAATCTATAAATACCTTGTAAATGAAGACGAAAGGTCAATTTATTAAAATATTTTCTCAAAATTTACCTTATTTCTTCCGTTCTGTGTTGGAAAATATTCTTATAATGTGTTGAATATTACAAGATTGACTTCTTTAAATGTAAAATTAATGATATATTCCAATCTTATTTATTTCTACTTTCAGGATTTTCTAGGCAGTATTGAATGTTCCCTGGGAGAAATCGTATCAGCGAATAAATTACAGAAAAGTTTAAGGGGACCAAAGAAAAACAGTGGATCTATTATTAGTAAGAAATAGAATTCTAATTTGTCACTTTATGATTTTAATTTCTTCTCATAAAGCTGCAATGGCATTATATTCTGAATGTAGTTTTTTTTGTAATTTCCTGGAATGGAATTTAAAATGATTCAAATCAGATAAATCTACAGGCCTATAATATTGATGTAGTTAATAATTTGTGTGTTTTTTTCTCTGTTTGTAGTCACTGCTGAAGAATTAAGTAGTTGTAAGGTAAGTCCTGGTTTGATTTTACTTTTCCTTGAAGGGCTGTAGTCGGGGCAAGTTTCTTCAAATACATGTATAATAAATGGACTCATCCACTTGATCAGAAATGATCATCACCCTATTTTTAGATCCATCTTTTTAATCGCCATCCGTTTGACCAATCCCTGTGTTTACAGAATAATCGTAGTTGAAAGTTAAAAAGACGACTCGTCTCTTCTTGATACTAGACCATATAGAAAAAGAAAGTGAAATTTCTAGTTTGAGGTATTTTCTATTAGTTATGGAGACTATTTACATTTATTCAAACCCCGAAAATGGCAAACAAAATAATGAATAAATATTGGATATTTCAGGAGCGAGTAACTCTACATTTCTGTGCCCATAAATTAGATAAAAAAGATTTTTTCGGTAAATCTGATCCCTTCCTATCAATCTATAGATCAAATGAAGATAGAAGGTAAGACTTGTTTTTACTATTTGTAGTTTATAGAAGCAGATCTGGAAATCAAAGTTTGTTTCTAACATTGTTTCTAAATCAAACATGAGTTTTTACTGTTAGTTACTCATTGTAATAATGAGTATATTTCGATCAGTAATGTTTTGAAGTACTTGACAGTGAAGCCAATATCTCATAGAATATCTAATAAATTATATCATTAACTTATCATTATATATGTCCATTTTGGCTTCTTTTTTTTTTTTTTTATTTATTTATTTTTTTAGTATTTTGTATAAATTGTGGTCATTTTTCAATTCAATCATCGTTTGTTTCCAGTTTTACTTTAGTACACAGAACAGAAGTAGTGAAACGTAATTTAAGTCCGACATGGAAACCGTTTAGTTTACCAGTCAGAACAGTATGTAATGGTGATTATGATAGGTAAGTTAAGATTTACACTTTGGTGGAGAGTGCCCGTCATTGTAAGCCCATCTAGTTTTAAAAAAGTGGGCAGTAAAACTCCATTTCATTTCAGGGAGGGTATCAGAAAGGTGAATTTAGTTCTTCATTGTAGAGTTGGGCAGTAAATTGCAATATTAGTAACAGAATTAAAATGAAGGAATGATGGATCCAGTGCAGTTATAACCTATATTGTTTAATATTTAGCTAGATCTTTTGATTGATATATACACATCACTCGAACTGAAGTAGGTCCATCATTCTATTTGAAAACATGTCTGATGCATACATACATCATAACTGCAGTGAGTCCATTGCTCCTTGCCACAGTGAATTTATATTATGACACAATATAGTGATATATATGTGGAATATTTCAGAATGATGAAAATAGAATGTTATGATTGGGACGCTGATGGAGGGTAAGTTGATTAAAACGATATATAAAAAGTTTTATGAAATAGAGAAAATTCTCAAAACGGACTAGAACTGTATTCATGAAAAACTTATTTTAAAATGAACACAAAATTTTGGGAAAATCTTCAAAAAGAAAGAAAGAAATAAGACAAGGGTATACCTAATGATTATTATGTAAGACTTCGTCATTTATTCAATTTGTCAAGTGATGAATTGTTATAACACGAACATTAATGCTATCGAGACCAAAATTTGATACTTGATAAGAATTCATTTCTATTTTTAGCCATGATTTTATCGGAGAATTTTCAACGACTTTACGAGAATTATCACGAGGTGTTTCAGCTAAAAATAAATTTGAGGTAAGAAAACTAATTTTGAGAAAATATAAATTCTTGATATTCAAGGTATAATTGAAATGTTTGCTCTGTAGTGCTTTTCAGAATGAGAATCTGACTCATGTTCCTCTACAATTAAATTCTTAACAGAATTGATGAAAAACCCTTCAGTTTCCAGGCTGTATTGTCTTATAATGCCAGCATAGATAGACTCTAATTGATATGAAAATTGTAAGTGAAAAATTTAAAATTGCAGACATGCTTTATTACTGGAATAGCCTTGCTGAGTTGTATAATGTTATGATTTATTTTTTGTAGTGTATAAATCCAAAGAAAAAAGCCAAAAAATCGAAATACACCAATTCAGGAGTTGTAAGTAACCACCTTTATTACTTAGTTTAAAAACTGTTTAACTATTGGTATAGGATGATTTGTATTTTATAAACAATTTGCTTTTTATAAATCAATACAGAATTTCAGATAATGAATATACTGAATAAACAATAAAATGTGGACTCTCTAGAAGACACCACAATGCTGTTTGTTGTGTACCACTATTTAAGACTTTTTTTTTTCATTGCAGGTCGAGTTATTAAGTTGTAGAATAGAACAAGTTTTTACATTCTTAGATTATATTCGAGGAGGGTATGTATTATCATTTCGAATTTTTATATACTTATTGAAATACTTGATGATTGGCATGGTAAGGAAAGATAGGAGATGTCAAGAAACGTCACTGTACCACCTACACTGAACGGTCACTATCAATCTCTGGTAATGAGCTTGGAAAAGGTTGTTATGAACATGTAATGTAATATGAATATTAAGTATGTCATGAATATTTAGTAGCCTGTACGTGCATGCTTGGCGTGAAAGACTGATGCAGCGTTACTTTATGTGTGGCCACCATGATGCGTGGACGTGTTGCACTGTAATAAATATATAAACAATAATGTGTTGTAAATGACTTTAACAAAGGTTATACAAATTGTATATTTTAACTTGAACCTCTTTGTATTGTTTTCAGGACCAGAATTCATTGTACATTCTCTATAGATTTTACTGCGTCTAATGGGGACCCTAAATCAGTGACGTCACTACATCATAATAACCAGTACAGACCCAGTCCTTACGCTATAGCTATTAGATCTGTTGGTGATATTATTAAAGATTATGATACGTAAGTTTTCTATTTTATAATTTCAAAGTGAAGGCCCTTATTTAGTTTGAAACATGATAAAATACCTAATGTAGAGGAATAATCTCTGAAATAAAAACAGAACTGTTTCATAACTATCAGGTTTCACTTTAATAGGTAACCCTTGTATTAGGGTTAATAAACTTTCTATGTTGTTCTGGGTATTAATTCAGTTAAAAGACTTGCTAAATTTGTGTGTATTTAATTCAATACAATTATTCTTTATTTTAGATATAAAATGTTCCCAGCTCTTGGTTTTGGAGCCAGATTACCTCCTAATGGTGTTGTTTCTCATGAATTTGCTCTGGTAAGTTTAGATTTTTTATGCAAAAATTAGGCATTGACAGAGCCTCTGCAGTTATGAGGTGGGCTTGAATTTCTCTAAATGCAAAAAGAAGTCTGACAAAACATTCTGTTCTATGAGCAGTCAATTAAAAACAGAAGGCCTCAGTTTTTTCAACCTGTTAATGAAATATTTGAGTTAAATTCTTAAACTTTCAGAGAGTCCACAAGACTAATAATTTTGATGTGGTATATTTATTTTATATGTTGTTATATTTCAGAATGGTCAACCAAACAGTCCTTACTGTCAAGGTATTGATGGTGTACTAGAAGCTTATCATAAAACAGTACAATCAGTTCAGCTGTATGGTCCTACTAACTTCGCTCCTACTATCAATCATGTTTCTAAGTAAGTATTTTCATTGGTCCTTTGATATTGTTTTCTCTACCTGTAAACTACTTAACTCTCATACAATTTTTGCCCTATTGATGTTTTGACATCTTTGATATGTGTCAATAAAAGGTTTGGGCACGATATTTTTAAAGTTAAATTTTTGTCCCTTTTGACTTCAGATATCAGACAACACCTTTTGTGCTTTTCAAAGATTAATCTGATTAGAATGCATACCTGTAAAGTTTTGTAGTTTGTCTTTTGGTGACTCCACTTGCCATTCTTGATCTGAGGAAATTATTATGTATTTTATGCTCTGAATCAACCAATAAGATCGAACAATTTTTCACCAATTGTAAAAGTAGCCAAAAAGCATTGAATGTCACAAGTTTGGTTTGAAATAAATTTATTTAATTTTTCAGATTTGCTTCTCAAGCTTTAGACGGCAATGATTATTTTATTCTATTAATAGTAACAGATGGTATTATAACAGACATGCCCCAGACTTGTGAAGCTATAGTTCAGGTGAGTGTATACTAAATGATTTACTACAGACATCACTTCACTTCTACTAAATGATTTACTACAAACATCACTTTACTCCTACTAAACAGATCTACTAAAATCACTTTACTCCTACTAATTGATTTACTACAGACATCACTTTACTCCTACTAAATGATTTACTAGTAGTAAATTACTACAGACATTACTTCACTTCTACTAAATGATTTACTACAGACATCACTTTACTTCTACTAAATGATTTACTACAGACATTACTTTTCTTTATTAAATGATTTACTACAGACATCACTTCACTTCTACTAAATGATTTACTACAGACATCACTTTACTTCTACTAAATGATTTACTACAGACATTACTTTTCTTTATTAAATGCTTTACTACAGACATGATATTCATTATGTTTCTCTTACTGAAAGATTTACTACAGGCATCACCAAGTTTTCAATACAAGTTTATGTTCTAGATATATTCTGTTGATATCTTCAAAGTTTGAATTTGTTTTGTGTTTTTTTGCAGGCAGCTAAACTACCTATGTCTATTATTATTATTGGAGTGGGGGATGCTGATTTCGAAGGTAAGTTAAGTTATGTTTATTCTAGGTATATTTCGAATGACAAACCCAATCGTAGGGTGGCATCAGGTGTTCTTGAAGGGTGAGCTGCCCTGCCTTTCTCGTCATTTTGTAAATCTTATTAATGTCCCATGTTTTATCATGGATTATCTATATCCATATACAACTAGATTGATTAGGGAAGATGACTTATTTAACGTGACTCTAGAGAGATTAGAACCCATATCTTTTACTTGTTTGAGTAACAGATTAAATGACATGAGATAAAGATTCCAATGTTCTCCCGACTGTACTAAAGCCTTGAAAGTTGACAAACCAACTCAATGATTGCTTCAATTCGTTCAATCTAAACTAATAATATTTATGATATGATGTATGTATATTATAGCTATGGAAGTATTAGATGGTGATGATGTGAGACTATCATCTAATGGTATGTACGCTGAACGAGATATCGTACAGGTAAGTTTGATATTTTAACTGGGTTCTTTAAGGGGAAAGCTGTATGCAATTTTCTCACAAGTTTTGCCAGGAAGATTTTAGATATTTTATCTGAATTCTCTCAGCCGTAACTCAATTGATATTATTTATATGGAAGCATTTAGGATCTTCCAAGGTCTTTTGCTCAGTTTTGCCTGGAAAATTGAATTCCTTAGAAAGGTCTAGCTCAATCAATGTCCTTACTCATCAACATCCTGTTGGCATTGAACAAACCAAATTGTAGGGTGGCGTCAGTTTTGCCTGGAAAATTGAATTCCGTAGGAAGTTATAGCTCATTCAATATCATTTCTCATCAACATCCTGGTGTGCCTGCTCTTCTATAGTTACTTTCAGTAAGTCAATACTGACGGTGAGTCTAAATACTGTAATGTTAACAAGTAATGTTGGTTTGACAAATCACCTTAATATCTACATATGTTACCTTGACTAGCAAGCTTTTTTTACACAATTTTTTTCTACTTTCAGTTTGTACCAATGAGAGACTTCATGGGTCAAGGTCAAGAAAGTAAAGATGAGCTCTACGCCAGATTAGCTAAGGAAGTGTTGGAAGAAATCCCAGACCAGTTTTTATCCTACATGCAGAAACGATCCATTAAACCTAAACCACCTGTACTGAACCGAACACTCTCCATTAGTTCAGTTGCTTCCCTACCTAATTCTGAACAGTAAATCTTGTTTCTACATTTTTTAATGGCAGAAGTCTTTCAATCTATAGAAGCTTTGAAACTTGAGCAGTTTCTGGCTACTAAAGGCTATGCTCATGCTATGTACTCATACAGGCTATGGTAGACTATGAACTTTGGATCAGACTACCAGTTTCGGACAGTCTTTTAACGTTAAGAAAGGCTACAAACTTTGGTCTTAGCAGTCATTTGAAGACAGTCTTTGTTCACTGAAGTTCTTTGAACATAAGCAGTGGTTCTGCTGGCTGGTAAAGAAATTGTGATAGATTATCAACATGACAATGAAGTATAGATAGCTATACTATTGCACAGCATTGATGTAGTTATCATTACTTAATGGTGGGCAGTGGTTTGTTATCAAATGACAAAAATAAGATCCTACTTTCTACCTTAAAATATGGTTTTAGAGGGTATTGTAATAACTTTCAGTATTAGTTTTGATTAAGAAATTCTGTATTTCTTGAACTGTATATTTGTGTTTATAATGCACAGTTTTTAACCTTAAAAAGGGCATTCCAAACTGCTTTCATTATACACTGCGAATAAAAATTTAGAATTTTTTCTCAAGAAGTTTCCCTGTCAATATTGACGATCAGTCATTTTGTAATTAATCACTGATGATGAAAGGTGCTAATATAGAATACCCTACTTCACTTGACAAAGTCCTATCAATATCACAATAACCTTGGTCCCCCTTGTCAGAGTGTTTTATATGTTTTATTCTGTTGTGAATTTTTATAAATATATATTTTGATAATCCTTGAAAAAAGGGTAGCGAAGTTCTCTTCTATTCCCCTATTTGGGAAAATATTCACGATATTGATGCACGAAAGAAAAGAGTTATAATAACAACTTGTCAAAATATTTAGGTGATATTAAATAATTGAATGATAATTGAAATAGCATGCCTTGGATTTGTTGGGGGCTCTTTTGCTTAATGAGTTCTGAAATACCCTATTGTGATTGACCAACTAGATGACTGAAATACTAAAATCATCTTTAGCTTTACGAGAATAAGGCCCCAGTATGAGCTATATTAATAACATTGTTTGACTATAATAGACATGATATATATATATATAATTTGATCTGATGTTAATTTTTATAGTTTATTTATTAGATTTTATTCAATGGTTCATTCTATGTTTATTGTGTTTATTGTTTGTATATTTGTAATAAGAGGCAAGTAGTCACTTCCTCAAAAATACCCTTTCTTAAGTATGGTATAGTCTGACTGGTTTCGTTCTTGAGTGAACTCTTGAGGTGCATCTAAGCTAAGCTGGAACCTTCATCTCTATTTATGTTAAAAAAAAGGCGGAGGTGCATGGCGGAGACGAATTTGACTTGATGCGAGTTAGGTATCAACGAATTCATTTAGCTTTCTTCAGTCACTGGCCTACTTTATTTCGTATTTGTAATGTTGTAATGTAATGCTCATATACTTTATGTAACGTTCACAAGTTCACATGACTTATGTTGTTTATTTGGTATGTTCATATATTGTTTATTTGGTATGTTCATATATCATATATTGTTTATTTGGTATGTTCATATATCATATATTGTTCATATATCATTCATATATTCCACCTTGTGTCTTTATTTAAAGAGACAGATTCACCATTTTCGGAGACTGATTTGAGTCTTGAATATATGTAAATAGTCTTCAAGAGCACTATAATGTACGAAAATCACATAATTCCTTTAAAATACTTCAAACTAGGATTTTTACTCACTATTTCTACATAATGACTCTCTATATATCACAGAGTATCTTAAGATGAGGAGTCATTTTAACATTCAAACGCAGATAATTCTGGACACACATGGATTTGAAGGCTCAAATTTCGACAGTGAGCTGTCAACACTATTACTGATTAGCTCAATTCACTTTTCTATAACTAAGGTACAAATGGTCAAAAAAAATGGCGCATCTGTCTCTTTAAATGACTTGGGATACCTCATTTGTCTTTCTGTCTTGTTGATACACTTGATAATGGTTGTATAAAGGATATATCATTGAAATTACGAAAGCACGGGCTGGGGAGAAAATTCAGCAACACTAATTACCGTTGTGTGCAGAAAAAAGTGGTAAAAATACTTAGCACTCTTACCTTGACTTGAACTTCGGCTGAAGTTGAACTTTACAAAGTTAGGATTAAGGCTTTCATTTTCTACATTTGATAGTCAAATTTAAGCAAGACTTTCATAAAGATTGACTGGTGCATACCGAAAGTTGACTTAAGACTAACTTTAGTCAAAGTTTAGGTAAAGTACGAGCGCTGCATATGGGCTTTAGTGTAATTCTGATAGATTTTTTAAATCTAAGGAACTGTATTCCGTGTGTTTTAACTTTTTTTCCACTTTTGTTGAATTCCGAAAAACTATATACGGATAACTGGAATTGGGTTGTATCAATTGATAAAACAAATATTTAGACAATTTGCTCTTAGTTATAGCTTCAATATAGTTTTTTGGGTTATAATTGTTTTAAATTATAGTTTTATTTAGAGTGCTGTAACTAAATTTCCACCTTGTCAGGGAAAGTATTGTGTTTTATGGTTGTGCTAGGATCCAATTATAGTTAGTATGTGTTAAACTGGCCCCAGATTTTGTTTTGTTCTGAGGTGCTAGAATAGAAAGCCTTTACATTATGTTTGTGTAAATACACTTGTCCTTAAGTTTGATTCCTTGTGTTTTTATGAAAAAGAAGGTCTCACTATTTTTAGGCTGAGCTACATCGCACTTAAAATTTCAGTTCATTTGTATGTACATGTTGAACATGTTGAATTTGATGACATTGAATAAGTATAGATAATCTGGGAAATCTGCCACGAGGTTAGATTAACGACCAGCTGGTAGACAGGATCCTTGTGAACATAAATTTGAATCCTTGTAAAATATGAATCTTTTTTTTGTATAATTAGTGGTTAGTAGATTTTTGTATTACGTTTATATTTTGATTGTTGAGTTTTACCAAACTGATATATTTGATTTTTTTTATATCTTCTTATTTCATTTTATTAATCCTTGGAAACCTTGCATCAGCCTACTCTTTTTTGATTTTTCCTCTTTCAGATCTTTAATGGGATCTTTAACGTGCATAGCCTGCAGCTCTCAGGGTGCCTGAAGATAACCTGTAGGTAAACCCATTGATCTTTCTGCCTGAGCAGCTATAGCCCCGTCATACTGCGACCATTTTCAATCTTACGGCAACTAAAAACAGCAGCTCAGTAAAAACGCCTTTCCAATGTGACGGGGCTATTGGAACTCCTAAGCTATTTTCTTCACATTATGATATTTATATTTTATAAAGTACAGTAAAACCTGCATTAAGAGACCACTCAAGGGATGAATCCATAGATTAATGAAGATGGTCTCTCAGGGGAGAAAGTCAGCAATTTGCTAGTTTAATTATTTTATTTCATTACATGACAATAACAATGTGATTATTTTATATGAAAATAGTAAGAATGATTTTACTATGTTAACAGATAGATGTTATAATATCTACAGGGTACCTAAAAGAGATACAGAATTTTTTTTTATCAATTCCTATTATTTCAAGCTTAAGCATATGTACCTTTTTTTTCTCAATTTAAATTCTGAGAGCTCCGAATGGACAACTCTGTTTTACAGTTAGTTAATAACATTTTTCCATTTTTGTTTTATTTTATTAATTAATTATTTTTTCCAATTAATGAAATTATGCTGAATTAAACGTTTACTTCCTTTTAGTATTTTCTTGACAAAGACATGAACGTTTTTACCCGTTTCCCGTTTGACCCCTTATGTTGGCCATTACAAACGAAAATATTTTTTACCCTTTTCACTTAATGTATGATTTAATTGTTATTAGACCATTGTTAAACCATGTTGTACACCATTTTATAATCTATATTTTACACTCTTTATTTTCTAATAAAACTTAAACAAATATTACTGTTTGATTACTTAAACGGGTTATATGTAGCTTTATTGAAGAAAATACCACGACCAGTAGGCCAGTCATAGCATTCTGCGCTAAATTGTAGAGTATTTTGAAATGAATTGAATGAAATTTTACGTCTTACTTTTCTGCACCATGTGGGCTAATGAAGACGGGCAACCTCATGCAGGGTGCAATGAGGGAAATTTTGCCAGGACAGCCGCATTAGCCTGCTCATTTTGGATTTACAACTGTCAAGGGATCTGTAACGTGCACAGTTTATGGTTTATTGTCCCATCCGAATGACAAGAAGCTTTTTCCATGTCAGCCCATCGAATACCAGTGATCTTAGCGTTAGAAATAAAGCAAATAACAAATTGAGAACAATTTTGAAAATTGGACTTCGATGAGCAAATAAAGTTTATAAGAAGAATAGTCCCTTCGATAACTTTAATATCAAAACCAAATTTGACAATATGAGAAAAAACATAATACATGAACGAACACTGGGTTCTTTTCCAGGTGGCGTCCACTTCCCCTTTAACACAACTTGTTGATTTGTACCAATTATATGACCATCTTTCCCAGATCTCGGTTAGATTTATTTCTTCAAAATAAGTTTTGCCTTAAAATGATTTCTCCTGTAAAAAGAGACTATACAGTCTGGTTAATCTCGCCTATAAAGCGCGGGAAAAGATACCATTAGGGAAATCAATCAAGTTAACCTCTTTATCATCCAATCAAAACGTGTCACCTCAAACATGGCCGCGCTCTTTGAAAAAGGCGCTGTTAAAAAATCATCAACAAAAGACTGAATATTGGACTCATATCTCACTTTTTCAAATAATTCACATTTCCGAAATGTGGAGTGGACCTCGGTGATACTATTAGCATCTTTTTTTCAAAGATGGCGAATGAGACAGGTGCAAAAGTTCCTTGCATGTCCGGAATTCTCGATCTGCAAGAAATATGTCAACAAAATGGTCTTCGTTTTTCACTTGAAACTAACAGATATTTATTGCTGCAGATTTTGCAGAAAATGAGACCTGAATGTGCTCAAAAACTGATCTCCAAATGTAAATATTTTTACTTGTTACTTCGTTGCATTGCTCATATGTTTTGTAACCTTGTATTTTAGTCTCAATGTAGAAGGAACTGGTGTTAGGGTGTATTGAGACGAGTCTCAATGAAAGCACTGGCCTTGGTCACAGAGCAATAGATAAGTCTATTGATTATGTGAAAATTAGTTAGTCATTAGTATGATTTTAGTTGAAAAGACACAAACACAAAAATACACTGCATGTTATATAATATGGTGTCAGTGTTGATGACTGAATGCATCTTATTCTTAGGCTGGGACTTAGTTCTTGGAAGACACTGGCGGTGACACTGGCACTTTTGGTTCTGCTAGCCTACCACTGACCAGTGGCCTGCTGCAGATAAGTGACTGCATGGCATGGCAAAACTTATGTTACATTATTATGTAAATTGATGGCATAAGATTGCCTAGGCATTATTAGATTTAAAACATGATTTATTTGATGGGGGTGTTTTCAGACAATTTGAGGACAATGATTATAACTATATTTTAGTGGTTGATAGAGGAGATGTAAAATGGAGTGATGATGAAGAGGAATATGAAGTAGAAGATATTTTTGATCATATTGATGATGAGGTGATAAACTCTTCTCTTACACTTGTCTCCATCTTTACAATGTCGAGCTGTATGGGATTTTTTCTTAGACATTGTCTGCAATAGCCCATTTTTTGTATAATGGAATGCAATGATTGGATTGTACGTCAGTGAATATAGCCAATCAGATTGTAAACATTATGGCTTATTTTTTGCAGGCTTTTAGTTTCTGTCAAGAGTCGAGCTCAGATTGGCTGTATTCACCAATCAAATCACTATATTTACAAACATCGGTGAAACAAGAAAGGTCGGAATAGCTTGACATTGAATTGACCTAGAATTGACATGACAAAATCCAGGTTATATCTTGATGTGTTTATATGTACTTTCAGGGAACGACGTTTTATTTGATAAAATGGAAAGGATGGAGTGCTGCTCACAACACTTGGGAACCTGCCAATAATTTAGATTGTCAGAAAATAATCCAAGATTATCGGGAACGTCTCAAGAATCGACCGAGCAAACGTAAAATCACAACAGTAGTCGAGGAGGAGGACAATAAGACGTTCAAACGACGAACTGTGGAATATATTTTCCAAAAACTGATAAGCTCACCTGCTACCAAAAATATTACTCCTAGAGAGCTGATTGCATTGACTAGTCCCCAGTTTATTAAGAGTTTTACGGCCTCGGGGTTGGAAAGGTCAAGAAGTTTACGTGCCAGAAGTGCCCATTGTCTTCAAATGAACCTCAACCCAAAAAGTAAAAGATATAAGATCAAGAAAAACGCTATAGCTAAGGAATTGGAAGAATGGGAACAAAAATTAAACAATATCAGTATTGATCCTGCCAAAATATTTGTTGAAAATCAAGTCGATTTGGAGGGTCCACCTCAGGATTTTGAATTTATCACGGATTATAAAGAAGGGGAGGGAATTAGTATTCCTCAGGATCCAATGATTGGATGTGAATGTACCGATTGTTACGACACCAGGAAACAGTGTTGTCCGTCGGGGTGCGGGACAGATTTCGCGTATTATAAAAATAAACGTGTCCGTGTGCAAAAAGGGACTCCAATCTACGAGTGTAATAAGCGGTGCAAATGCGGACCTGAATGTTCGAATCGTGTGGTACAGAATGGCTGTAGGTACAGGCTATGTATATTCCGTACTGCTAATGGTAGAGGATGGGGTGTCAAGACATTAGATAAAATTAAGAAAGGGAATTTCGTTGTTGAATATGTTGGAGAAGTAAGTATAGATATATTGAAGGAAAGTGGCTATTCGCACCTTGAAGGTATTTAGCCACCTCTACCTAACCTTAACAAAGTCACTTAAGTGCATTCTTGATGATCAAAATGGATTCATGTTCAGGAAAAAGAACACTAGTGCAACAACAATGATACGTATTGAAAACAAAGACAAATCGCGCTGTGAAGGATGGTGCAAATAGCCAGTGCAATATTGAAAACTTGATCATTTTATACTGAAGCAAAGAAAATGCCACAGGACGTATCATATATATACCTCTATTTTCTAATGCTAATATAGGAAAAAGGCAGTGAAGAATAAAAAAAAGTTTATTGATCACAGAAAATACAACTGCAGTGTTATTGTCAATCATACTCATTGTAAAAACACCTGTATTTTATTTCACTTTCAAAAACATGTAAATATCAGCATGCTTATCAGACCCAAGAGAAATTATGTTTATTTATGTATATTGTAGGTTATCACAGCAGAAGAGGCAGAGAGGAGAGGCCAAGTTTACGATGCTGAAGGGATGACCTATTTATTTGACCTAGATTATAATGATGATGACTGTCCTTTCACTGTTGATGCAGGGTATTATGGGAATGTTTCACATTTCATCAATCACTCGGTATGTATAAATAGTGTTTGAGTGACACAAAAGCTTATAGTGTCTATCTGCACCAGTCTAATTTCTCCCTTTGGTTCCTGCTCAATTTCAAATGTATTAGAGGGTGAGAGGCAACATTCATGCTGACAGCCGACAGCACTGGCGCAGGCCTCAGAATTTTTCTTGCCTTGAGGATTGGAACACATGGCACCTAATTCCCTAACTGAGATGACAATCCAATTCGCTACCGACAGGTATTCCACTACCACAATGTAGGGTACTTGTCTAAAGTAAGAAAAGGTGACATTGAATTCCAGGACTTATATATGGGATGGGAAACATGGATTTGTCTGTTGTTATCCACACAGGTTTCCTATTGAACACATTTCATCTGCCTTGCTAATGGTACCAGCTTGTGAAGTTTGACTTTCTGGTTGCTATGGAAACGGTTTTTAATATGTTAATGCTATTATTTTTCAGTGTGATCCCAACCTAGAAGTATTTGCTGTGTGGATTAATACACTAGACCCACGATTACCTCGTATTTCACTGTTCGCTAAGAAAGATATCCAGAAAGGGGAGGAGTTAACCTTTGATTATATGATGACAGGTTCGTTCATTTCATTGTTTGTATAAATCTGATGACTTTTTAATAGCTACATGCCAAATATCAGTGATAGATTAAGACCAGCTGGCCGAAAGATCCTCAATAGCCATTTTGAAATCAGTGACAAGAGGTTTGGTCAACGACCAGATGCTAAACAGATTGCTTGTGCACCTCTAAGTTGTTATTCTTTTAAAATATTATTGTTTCTTTTGCACGGCTGGGTGGTAAAGAATCAACTGAATATTTTGACTTTATAATTAAGAAAATTTCATGTGAAATTAAGGTGTCGTCAGTGATATTTTCAAAAATATTTTTTCAGGGGACACAACTCAGAAATCCATGTTATCAACATCAACAATGAGTCTGGATGATTTAGCAACAAATTTAAATACAACTGAAATACCAAGTTCTGGGATTTCTTCCCAGGATGGATCTGATTCAGGGATAGGGAGTCTAATGGACGGTAGTAATAACCAGGATGCCATCCATAATCTTCCAAAACCGCTTCAGTTTGTCACAGATGAAGAATCTGGTGTAAAATCGCCGAAAGCAGACTACAATAAAAACTGGAAAGATAGCCTTTCTACTCCTAAAACTCAGGGATCAGCCATTTCAAATACAGTGCCTACGCCTCCTTCCTCAGATAAGAAAGGAAAAATGCGACATTTATCAAGCCAAAAGAATCGCATAGCTTGCCAATGTGGTGCTTCAAATTGTAGAAAATTTCTATTTTAATGTTCATCAACTATTGGAAAAATTATTTTGTTTTAGATTATTTTAGGGATTTGAAAATTCTAAGGTGCTTACTCACTTTCAAAATAATGTAGTGTGATAAAATTTTCACTTTTAAATGGCTAATTTGCCACTTGTTTTACATATATATGCCACTTTTTTAAGGCAAAGGTTTAAGTCAAAACTATTTCCACTTGTTTTAAAGTCAAAACAATTTGCCACTTGTTTTAAAGACAAAACTATTTGCCACTTTTTAAAGTCAAAACTTTTTGCCACTTGTTTTAAATGCAAAACTATTTGCCACTTGTATTAAAGACAAAAGTATTTCAAATGGCCAGAATTAGTATTTTTCATCCAGGAAAGATAAGAATCTAGCATTTTTTGTCAAATTAGACAAGAATTACATTGGTCATGACATATGAGAATGTTGTATATTGTTTTTCAATCAAAGTTTGAGATTGATGTACTAGTGTGAGATAAAGTTAAAATAAATTTCAAATTGGTAAAATGGATTGCTCAAGTATGACATTTATTTTTGACAGATTATCATTTTAAATAGCTAACAATGGACAAGCAATTGTATAAAGAAAATTTGAACTTGCTGGTTTAAGAAAATCATACTCAAACAAGTGAATAACAAATGCTAAAATACAGATAAATTTTTCGAAAGGGATGCCAAGTTGGCCTAAATCCTAGAAATGTCACATACAAATTGTTACAAATACAAATTTTTCTGCCTTCAAGATGATTCTAACCCATAGCACCTAATTGCCTAGCAGTTGACAATCCAACTTACCACAGACTTAGACATTAGTTGATTTTAGACAGAAATATATAATGGATCAAATACAATCATAAAATCTTTTAAATGTTGAAATAGTGATATAGAGTGATAACATGTTTCAGGTTCTGAAGTTTCTAAAGGAACAAATTAACATACACTTTCAAGAAAAGAAATGACCAGTTATTTTTTTACATGTTTTATTAAAACTGTTATTGTTAGATTGAATTTTATTCTTCTTGATTTGTATTTAACAAAAATATTTTAGGCATTAAATATTTTATAATGTTATGAGATGTTAGTTGTATAAATGTATCTGAAAATAAGATAACAGACTGCAATTGAACTGTGAGTTTCTGAGAGATCAAAGGTCAATGCCCAGTAAAGAAGTTGATTTACAGCTCCATTTCTGACGGAGTAAGAGAATTTAAATGAAATTCTATTCTGCCCCTGGGTAGGAGATGGAAGGCTTGCAAAAGCTGAATATAAAGCCTGAACCTTCCTATTATGGTCAAACATCACAGCCTTGATTCTGTCTAAGAGCTAAATGGAAATCTATGCAAGGGTATCAAATTGACTAAAATATCCAAAAACTACAATGCATATACCTCGAGGATATTCTTGCTGATTGTTGTTGACCAGTGGAGAAATAGAAAATTAGCTGTGGTCTTAAAGTCAAATATATGAATTTATTACCTCCCTTTAGAATAGAGGACGCTTTCGTCGAATGTTTACATTAGAAACAAAATGGTGGACTAGAAAGCTTTGAAAAAGAACAACGACTGTAATTCTATATTTTATTGACTATATTTTGCTCTGAATCGAGTGATTTCTGTTATCCCTCTAAACATGAATAGTTCTTTATCCAAAATTGAACATTGTCATGTGTGTAAAAGTTTTTCAGGTTGAAATACGTCTCTCTCAAACTTGATTTAAACAAAAAGAACAGACAGTGAGACACAGACGTGAACGTCAATTCTGACTTCAAATCGATTTCAAATTCTATCGATCGGTATCTAGCCAATCTCCATGTCTCAGATTTGCTCAGAGTGTTCGTTATTACATTCAGCAGAGGCTTTGCTGTGTTACTCAGCCTGAGTGTAAGACCAACGAAAGGCAATGACATCTGATGATCTGTCACTGACACAGGCATAGAAGATAGAGAAGCTGTCAATGTAATAGACATTTTACTCATATTGACATTGTTGTCATGAAATTATTCAGAGCCCAAAATTAACCTAATTTTTATCATGTACTAACCTATCCACTTATAATGCAGTAAATACAAGAATAAGGCCAATGCCATATGGCATACCTTGATTCACTGTTTCTGAGATAAGATTATTATGTGCTTTTAGTTTAAGGCTAGGACAAATGAATGGTGGTATTCATAGTTAAGTAATCTTGTGTTTAAATACAAGCAGATCATACTGATTTTAAAGTAACAGAACAAATTTCACAATCAAGTCTACTTTACGATTTTTCAACTTTCAGAAAACAGAAAATCTGGAATAATTTTCCCTTAGTCTTAAAACAAACAAGCAACAAGATGGCTCCTAAAGGTGGATGTGGTATTTTAGATCAAGACATCAGTTTTGTCTTGGATCGGCTGTTTGATGAATATAACATGGATCACATTCCACTGGGCAGACGACTTGATGGATTAAAGAAACGAGATTTAGCTCACATTAAACATTATAGAGCGGCAGTGAAGATATTTGGAGGTCCGTTGAGTCGTAAACGAGTGATTACAGCGCCATCTATGGAAACACCCATGAAACATCGTTTAGGTTTATATATTAATCGGAAACCAGCATCTGATAGCCCAGTTCTAAATTCAGCCATTATGGAAAGACCCCAAATCACAAAACCTTTGACTAAAGAACAACTAGAAGCAAAGGCAGAGGAAGACAAAATTTCTCAGTATAAGTCATGGATGGCTGAACGTAAAACTCTACGTAAGAATTTAGATGGCATGGGTCTGACGGAGGAGTACCTGGCAAATAAAACAGACAAATCGGAATTAGAAAAACGTGTAGCTTATAAAATGGAAGATATTTCGAGAGAAAAGGCTGAATTGAAGAAGAGAAAGCCCAAACCAAAACTTCCACCCCTCAAGCGGGACTTGCCAGAAATTCCTAAAATAGCCTCGCCAGCTCCCGTAGCCCTGCAGATTATGGATGAACATTTAAAAGCGAAGAAATTAAGACTCTTAGATCTATTTAAAGTTGTGGATAAAGATAAGAATTGGAAAGCAACAAAAACAGAATTCAAGGCAGCTATAAAACATGTAAGCTGACTTTGAATATTTCTGATCTCCATTCCTTGGTTCATTTAAGGTGTGGGCGGGGTCAAAGATTTTGTCGCCGATTAGAGTCTTGAGTAATATCTTGCGTATGCCCGTGTTTCCACGACAAGATTATCGGGTTCCTGACAGGATTTATAATATTATAATAATGCACCTTTTAAGAAGAGTCTATTAAAATGAAAAACTTTCCACACTTAAAAGATTTTGACATGATTGTTTCCAGACTGATAAATTTAATAAATTTATTGACATCTCCAACTGGGACTCGAACCCACAACCTCAAGGTTGCCGAGCACGTGCGAAAACCACATACTGGTTAACGATGTCTTCAATAAAGATATCTCTTTCTAAAAAGGGCTTACATATTAATGAAATGTGAAAAGGCAATTTTGAGATCACTCCCTTCAAAATAATTACCGGTAGCCCTGTACAAATTTTTCAAAATGAAAATAATTAAATAAACTGATATTTTTCTGCAGGCCAATCTGCCGATAACAGATAAAGAGGTAGAAGATATGATAGTTTGTTTAGATGATGATATTAATGATGAATTAGATTACGCTGAGTTATCTCATGGTATCAAAATCTGGAGAAAAGAACGACGTGAGAACAGACGGAAATCAAACGCTTCTATTGATACACTTGGTAATGATTTCATTTTGTTTAAGATTATGCACATATGAACCAGAGTAAGCAGTCCACATAGGTAATAGTGTTTATTTGGTATTTGGGTTTGTCAATTTAAGATCCTTACCTACCTACCTAATGTTGTTTATTGTGGAATATTTATTTAGCATTTTGGTTTCAGGGAATCTGTTGCACTAAATCTGTATATTATCATTTACTGAATATTTCTTTTAAAACCTCATTTTCCTTCATTACAGATTCATTATTCAGTAGTTCAAGTGGAAATCATCGACCTTTCACCTCTAGTAGAAAAGATAACCGCCCAGTCACAGCACATTCGTTATCACCAGACGATGCTGTTCCTCCATCTCCTGTCACTCCCTCCCTAGAAAAAGAAGGCGGTCACAGAACAGGAAGTTTACGTGGAAAACCGCGTCCCAGAACAACTAGCGCCCGATCGAGAAGTGATGGAGGACAAACGCCTCGGATACCGAGCGCACAAGGAAATTCACCATCGCCCGATTTTAATGATTTACCAATTAAAACAGCTGATTTGATTGGGGGAGACAGTTTCCGGTCAGGGAGTAGGGGAAGTAGATGTAGCAGCCCCAGGTATTTAGAAGTTCCAGAGCTTGACACAGATCCAGGTCGAATGATATTTTCATCACCAGAAGCCATGACAGATCTTATAAAACATGATAAAGAAGTTCTACGAAGAAATAAGTACAGGAAAAAGGTAAGAAATATTTCTGGGCACCAAGTGCTGGTCTTTATGAAAGAAAACTTGCTCTATCACTTGTAATAAGCAACAAAATTGACATCTAGTTGCCATAGATGCAATGGTGTCATAGGTAGTAACTGCATGAGAGAATCTTAAACTAGTCCAAAACATCTGCCTATTCCAGTTATTTTCAATGCCATCAGCCATGTTTTTGGGGATTTATTCTGCAAGGATTATAAACATGAATGTACAAACATAACTCATCAATTATTTGAGTACTCTCTTATGAAAAAGGCAATTTTTGATTGGTTAAATTTAGTGCCACATAAAGCTATTTAAATATAGTGAACCACAGTCCAACTATTTAATGATAACCGTCTAAATTGACATGATTTGATATGAACTTGATTATATTTATTGATAGCATGGTATAACGGCTGATGATGAGCCAGCACCAGGAGTTATTAAAATAGGGGACAAGGCAATAGATGATCACAGTTACCAAACAACACTGACTGGGGAGGTCGGCAAGATGGTGGATACGTTCCGTCAAAGACGTCTGGCTGAATATAAACAATGTATTCAATTGTGTAAAGAAAGAGGAGTTGTTTTGTCTCCAAATCTACTAGAAAAGGGTGGGTATGAGGACCTGGTTGTATGTGGTGAACTGGCCTGGCTAGACAAGATGTCCTGGTTTGTTGGGTATCGAGGTTCAGATTATCTCAAATGTATTAATATGGAAAGAGAGTCATCCTGAGTAACTTGGTTTCCTGACCTGTAGACCGTTAAACCAGTCTGGTATCCATATAAAAACATTTTTATGAGCTGGACGGGGATACTGCGTTATAATTCAGCTGGCCCAAGACGCTGGCACAAAACCAAACATTTATTTTCAAAATGGTTGAATTGATGTCCAAGACAAGACAGAAAATTGGTGTCAGATGTCTATTAACATGATAGGATATCCAGATAGAGAAGTTAGAAACTGTATATAATAGGGAATTTTCTCTTCATCACATTTCACAGAAAATATGTAATTTTTTTAATTATCCTTTTCAGTATTACTATACCCGGCAGAGAAACCATATCATTTGATAAGGGATACAGTCTCACAACCAGCCGAGCCACTGATAACCTCAAAATTTGCTGATAAACCGAAACAAGTTAAAAAGTCCACGGAGGTCAAACATACTGATAGTATTAAACGAACTAAGAGTGGACGACTGGTGATGGACAGCCGTCAAACCTATAGGAGTGGAAAACAAGTCTTACAGAATATTACCAAGGAAGAGTTATCTACTGGAACAGCATTGATTAGAACTAAAGTTGATACTTGGATGACATTTGAAGAGTATGAAAGATTAACAAGGTATTTGTTCCTTTATAAAATTCAATGATCTTTTGGCTGAAAAGGTTCGCATAACTTTTGAATGGCTTTTTGGCAGGGCTGTTCAAATGGCCAGGATCCACAAACATCTGTGGGACATCAAGTCTACTCATTCAATTTGTTTTAAAAGAATAGTGAAAATTGTTTGTATCTCACGCAATATTCTCCATACTTGATCAATATCTTTTTATTTTCTGTATTTCAGTAAACATGCCGGCAAATATCGCCATCACAACAGAAAAACAGATCCTAATGCTTTCTGGCCTGGTCAGTTATTACATAAACTTAGATTGTGTATGCCACCATACGATTCGGCCCCTCAGCTTCATCCTACCGGTCCTATATTCACATCAGTCAGACCAACACGGAAAACTAATCCTGGTTATGATAATGATATCTCATACTGGCCAGTTAGTAATACTGGATATATGCAGAATGGCAGTATTGATAAATATTAAAAACATGGATTTCATAAATAAGGTCTGGTACAGATTATAATGATTGTGTTTGGATTTTACGAGCGTATTAAAATCTGAGCTGCTAGAACGACTGAGACAAGTCCAAGACCTAATTTCTCAAAAATTAGACCCAACTTTGGTTTTTTTTTTTATTAGTTTTTATTAATGTAAAGGTTAATTTGACGAATGCTCAAGACTCTGGGCATCAGACCCAACTGTGAAATGGCTATACTAAAAATAAAAACTAATATAAAAAAAATGAAACGAAGTTGGGTTTACTTTTAATTAAGACTGAAAATTTCAGGACCTTAAATGAAGAGTTCTTTATTCAAATATCCTTAACTTGGACTCATTAAGCCTGTGTTCCTAGCTTCAATGTCAAAATCTAATTAATTAGATCCATGTAGGCTTTTGAATCCTTTTCACAATTTTAAACCCAGTGTTTTTACTGTGTTTTATGTACAGTAGATTTCCCTACTTGATGATTATATCTATTATTATTATTATTTTCTATCTGTGATATTGAAGCCAAATATTTATTATTTATTTGTTAATAATATACAAAGAAATTTGTAATAAAAAGATCAAATCTTAATGAATTGAATTATTTAATTATTTTATTATTTTATAATATTCCTATTAAGATAGGTTGGGAATTGTGTGGAGTCTTGAGTCAATGGACTGGTAACAGAAATAATCTCTCATTAGCAACACTGCCTCGGATTCAGTCTCCAAAATATGCATGACAATTCCATCAACTTACAAAAGTTTCATAGCTTCAAAGTAAAATGTTTCATAGGTGGTTCAACATCAGTTATCTGAATCTAGCCCTCCAAATGAGGGGAGACTTAAGTTCGACAATGGACTGCTGTCTGTTTTATAGTTCCAAGTGATGGCATCAGCTTTTTACAAGGAATTCAATAGATCACAAAGAGATTCAAGGTCTTCTTATTTTAGATCTCACATTTTCCTCTCATCACAGGGGAATGGACATCCCATGAGTTTCAAGATAAACTGAAATTCCAAGCACTCCAAACTTGTCCATTATAGGCTCCTCCTACCAACTGTCAATCATCATCTAGCTCCTCCTCATCACTAAAGTATGCATCCTTTTTGAATTTCTTCTTTTTGGGTTCAGCAGGTTCTGAATAAGTAAATGCTACATTGGAATATTCTCCTAGATCTGCAGACAATCTTTTCATTTGCTGGAAAATACAAGTAAAAATATTTGGGGAAACAAATCTATTGAAAAGATTTACTTGGGAATAAAATACCGGTATCCATGAAGTGACAAAAAAGGAGAAACGAGATTTTGTCAATTAAACACTGGTAAGCTGACATCTTTCAATTAGCGGAGGTATATGATCAGAAGGGTGAAATATTTCTCAGGAGATATCTGGCCCCTCCTGGCTCTCCTTTAGCTTTGGGAATGTTCCACTTTCAGAAAAAGAAGAAAAATATCAGCATTAAGTTAGCTATAGTTTTAGCACCACGCTACATCAGTGTACATAAATACAAACAGTAAAACAATAGTAATATCTTGAAGACATCAATAATTTACTCTCAAGTTTTAGTCTGTTTATCTATTTACTGAGAAAATCTACTCACCTCATATTTTATAGCAGTAGCTAGATCATCTTTCTCTAAAACTTCATCTTCCTTATTCTCCCCTCCCTCATCATCACTGTCATATACCTCTTCATCTCTATAATATACAAATAGAACCTAAAAAAAATATGTTGTTACTCAGAGTTTCACACTCTGCCGGCGTGGCTTAGTGAGTTAAGACGCTTGCTCGCTAACCTGAAGATCCGAGTTCAATCCTGGCATAGGTCGAGATAATACATTCGGATTTTTCAACCCGGTTTCCCCCCGGACAATAAACTGAGGCCCCATGTGCTACAGACTGTGCATGTTAAAGATCACTTGACAGTTAGAAATCGAAAAAGAGTAGGTTAATGCTGCTGTCCTGGCAAAATTTCCCTCATCGCACCCTGCATGGCGTTGCCCGTCTTCATTAACCCACATGGTGCAGAAGAGTAGGACGTAAAACTCCTTTTCGTTTCATTTATTTCAGTGTGATTGCAAATTCAGTATAGAACCCAGGCTGAAATTAGTTCTTCATTTCTAGCTCAGTCTGTTAGACTGTTAGAATCTTGATGTCATTTGCTTGATTATGATGAATAAAAGGGCAGTGATGGGTTTTAATCTTAGTCGACCTTGAATAAGTCATCTTTCCTCATTATTCTTGTCAACTCAGCACTAAATGAGTGAGTAAGATTGTGTAAGATCAATGCCAAGGGAATTTTGCTTTGTTTGATGTATATTGAAAAGTGCTACAGAAAGCCAAAATATTTAATAGTTTCATACATGTGTAAGAGATAGCTGAAACAGATCTCAACCGACAAAGAAAAATCAACATGACAATATTTCTTAAAAAAAAATGGGAATATATACTTACTCGTCATATTTATTCTTTTTCTTCTTTTTAGGGGGAGGATCTCGATTTCCCAGTAAATTTTTTGGACAGGCATAACTTAAATGTCCTTCTTCCTGAATAAAAAAGGTGATTAGGTTTAAATGTGTATAACTAAATTAAACACTGAGTGACTGTCTCCAGGCAGGCAGAGAGATCACAAATGTAGAAAGGGTTTAAAAGGTATTTTGTTTCATCTTGAAAAATGCAGAATTGCTATTAGACTCATTTTATAGTCATAGATACCTGATTGATTTTGTCAACTTGTGGACTTCAGCTTATTGATGTAGAATTGGATAAATGTAACGTGTTTCTTTGTGATTCAGTTTTTGAATCAACTTTATCCTAAAAACAAAAGATTCCTCACCCCACATTCATAACAATGAGATTTATCTTTATATTCCTTTCTCCGTATAAACTCTGTTGTTCTACCATTATCTTTAGCTATACTACATTTTATAGTTCGACCAAACATCTAGAAATATAAACATAACATTACTAATAAACATTACTAACAAGATAATATTACTAATAAACATTACTAACATAATAACATTACTAATAAACATTACTAACAAGATAACATTACTAATAAACAAGATAACATTACTAATAAACATTATTAACAAGATAACATTACTAATAAACATTACTAACAAGATAACATTACTAATAAACATTATTAACAAGGTAACATTACTAATAAACATTATAAACAAGATAACATTACTCATAAACATTACTAACAAGATAACATTACTAATAAACATTATTGACAAGATAACATTACTAATAAACATTATTAACAAGATAACATTACTAATAAACATTATTAACATAAAATAACATTACTAATAAACATCATGAACAAGATAACATTACTAATAAACATTATTAACATAAAATAACATTACTAATACTAATAAACATTACTAACAAGATAAATTTTCTGAAAGGGTTGACTAGTTGATAATCCCAAATACCATACAAATATTATTTGTAAAGTGAACTATCTCAAAAAGATGCTGAGTCAAAAATCACAGGGTGAAAACCAATGTATCACATGAAAAAGATATTAGTTTATATACTTTAATATTTCAGAGCTAATCAACAAACTATTCAGTTCAGTAAGATATTGGATAAGAGAATAGCGTCAGAAAGCCAATTTTTACCTGTGTGTTATTAAGAGCAGCTATTGTTCTATAGGCAGACTCCCGTTCTAAAAATAAAACAAACGCTACACCTTTACTTTGATGTGTTACTTTATCTTTCACTATCGTAACTCTGAAATGAATGAATGGAAGAAATTAATCAAAGAATTAATGAATGAATTAAATAAACATTACTCCATAAAAAATGTTTTCTTTTTCCTTTGTGTGTGACTTATTTTAAAAAATGTTCAAATGACAAGCGTTGGAGATCTTTCTTCCTACAGGGACATAAACCATTACAAGGTTTAGTAATTTTATCCGTACATTTTTACATTCATAAACTTTCATTGTCTTGCAAATGACATTTTAAATCCATATATTTTTAAAAGTGGCATACTAAAAAGAAGACAATATTATTTGAAAAAAATCTAGATCTATATCTTACTTGACAACTTTGCCGTATTTTTCAAATATTTTATGAAGATCATTGTTGGTGAGTGAGAAGGGGAAATTTGAAACATAAACTGTACTTTTACTGGGAGCTAGACCACCACTTCCGCCTGTTGAAGCCATTTCAAAATCTACAATAAAAGAATCAAAATGAAATGAAATTAATGGAGTTTTACGTCCTACTTTTCTGCAACGTATGGGTTAATGAAGACAGAATAAAAGAATCAAATCAACACATCAATTCATTATAATCTATAAGCTCACCCTGTCTTTTCTTGCCGCTGTGATTATAATGTTGTGCTATCGATCTAAAACTTGTCAGAGAGGTAGCTACTTATAGGCCTATGTGCCTATGCAAATTTTAGACAAACCCAAGACTCTTTGCCAAGTTTCAAAAGGGAAGGGTAGGAGGACGAAACAGCAACAGAAGGGGAAATTTTAAACATAAACTGTACTTTTACTAGGAGCTAGACCACCATTTCCCCCAAATACCCCCCACCACCACTTAATTGGCATGATTGCCTTTGAAATCAAATGTGAAGGTCTCGAGATATCTTAGATATGCAATAATTATTAGATCAGCCCTTAATTTGAGAATAAATCGATGAATATCAAAAAAACTTTACCTGCAGAGCAAGTTTAATTTTTCGATGTAAACAAATCAAGAGTTATCTTCCCAATTATTCAGCTCTCTAGTTTTAGAAAACAAGAAAGGTCAACCGGTGAAATATTACGAGCTCTTGAGAAAAAATTGATAAAAAGTAGATATTGTAAAGGATCCTGTCATGAAAAGGCGTTGAATACAACCAGTTGGTCGGGAAGACTTTACTGTTTGAAGGTACAAGCGTTTCATGATCCTAAAATTCTCTTATATGTAAAACGTCTACTACCTAAATATTTTAACATAAGGGAGGTAACTCTCTTTATGTTACAATGGCTTCAGACAACTTTTATGTGAATCAATTTAATAAAAGCTTCACCTGTTTTTCAGGGTCAACATGGCACTTTCAATAATAAAAATGAAGCTGTACAGTTGTCAAACCAATCATATTTCATCTTTGATATGGAGAAACAGGAATGTGATGTTACAAGACTTTTCATTGGTTAGACAATGTGTCTACTCCAGAATATTTTCCACACAAAAATGTACCCAATCAGTGAAAATGTCCAAATCCACGACATCTGATAATATCATACAAAAAAAACTCTTAGTTTCAAAAAATATCAGAAATAAACCAGCATCTTCCGTTTCTACAGTGACCTTCCAAGACAAACATTGTCATCACCATATCACAGGACCCTCAACTGAACATTATCACACCTTAACAACTAAACAAACTTTCTTGCTAGCCGAGAAACATGTTATTAATAAAGTGAAAACTCGTGATGTGAATATACTTATTAAAACAATCTATGAAGCCTCACCAAAATCATTTCAACCATATTTACGTTTGATTAGATTTGATAAACCTATTGGTAAGTAGATATATTACTGAAGTCTTTGAATGGCATTTAGCAATTCTGAGTACGATATATAGACACAGCTTTATGAAACAACAACTTTAACCAGTGATTGTTCTTCCATAAAGCTATGTCTATATATAGATCTATTACTATGAATTAATCTTTACAATGTCAGTCCATTACAAACTGCATCAAATACCTTAATATCATTAGGCACTTTTCTTTCACAGAAGTTAGTTGAAGTGGAATGACAAAACCCAAAGACAGTTGTCTGAAAATTGAAGTGGTGCAAAGCGATGTTATAAGTTTGCCTTATAAACATAAAAAGTTCCTAACAATCTCTTTAAATGACGGAAATGTTGTGTTAGATGGTGATGAGAACATAGTTTCATGAAAGCACTGGCCTAGGTCACAATGTTGTATTATTTTAGGTACTATGTTATTATTCTGGCCATGTAGTTGGAGTATTGGTCTAGCTGCCCAGGCTGGTCATCTTCCAGATTTTTATATCCTCACCCTATTTGGTATTGGAGCGTTGTTAATGAGAGGGGCTGGGTGTATTGTTAATGATATGTGGGATAAAGATTTTGATAAAATGGTTTGTAGCTTTATATCATTAGCTTTTTACTTATGCTGAGATTTTTTAGTCTATTCTGTTGCCATTGTTCCTGTCAATGTAGCACCAATTCTTGTTCGCATGAAAGTTACAGTGTTTCTTTCTGATATTTGATTTAACCAGGTATGTGCTCAAAGTGGTCCACTTAATTTGTTTTGAATATATAGTAGTAATTGAGCTGAATGTGATGGAATTTACCGACTAAAGCAGCTTTAAAAAAAAACAAAATGTCAAATGATTTCAGACTGTTTCCAGTTTAATATTTATTTTTATTTCTTGCAGGTTGAGAGAACAAAAACAAGACCATTAGCATCAGGAGAATTGTCAAGTTTCGAGGCCCTGGTATTTCTGGGTTCTCAGTTGAGTTTAGCTCTAGCTATCTTACTACAGTTTAATCTATATAGGTTAGTGGACCCTTAATCTCTCTAGGGGTAGAAATCACATTAAATAACAGAACACAATCCAGGGGTAGAGATCACATCTAAGGAGCATGTTTGAGTTATCGCCCTTTATTTTAAGTGATTTTTTCTGAGACAATCCCATTTTCAAATTTTTTGCTTTAGCTTTAATTCAGCTCTTAATACATGTATATTATTATACACTGTGTAGTTTAGTGCATACTACCACTCTTAATAACCACTTAATTAAACTATGGCCCCATGGGCTGCTGCTTTTACACGAGTTAGATCTCCAAACAAAAAGAGTACGCTTATGCGTCTGTTTTAGAAACATTTCCCTAGTAACACTCTGCATGGCGTCACCTGTCTTCAATAGCTAAAACAGACGCAGAAAAGTAATACGTAAAATTCTATTTCATTTTCCCTGTTTATAAGTATTCTTATTTTTTTATTTTTTTCAGTATAATATTAGGAGCAGCATCAATGGGTTTGGTTATATCTTATCCTCTAGCTAAACGTTACACTTACTGGCCTCAAGTTCACCTAGGTAATATTTTATTTATTTTCTATTGAGTTAATTTTTTATGAAGTTTCATTGTCCCAATTTTTGATTTTTTACCCTTGGCCAACACTTTCATCAGCATTTACTGCATCACCTATTACATATTTACACCATGTTTCACTGTGGCAGGTAAACCTTATGTTTATACAAGGCTATTGGATAAAGTGACCACAGCCTCGCCTATTTACTGATATGTTGTAGGAAGTTTTTTTATTCTATATACTTATAAAATTTAATGAAGTGAAACACATACCAAATATTAACTGTTGGCCCTGACTTGAAATGAGTAAGTCTCATAAACCTAGAAAATCAGTCATGTTTGAGTGCTTATTGCAAGTCCTATATCAATATCACCCATTCTGTAGAATTTTCCCGGCAGTAAATATTAAACAATAGAAATATTTCAGGTATATCGTTAAATTGGGGTGTATTACTATCCTGGTGTGCTATATTTGGTGAATTAGACTGGACTATTGTACCACTATACACAGCCTGTGTTCTATACACCATGTTTTACGATACTATATATTCACATCAGGTATTGACAGGCATAGCTTTTATTTTCTTACCCAATATATCGGTAATATTCGAACGATAGTTAGAAGCAGAGAGTACAAAAAGAATGCTAAGGAATATGTTATGGAATAACTCACTTCTAATAACAACTACATAACATTTCATCACAATTTACAGAGCCATTATCAGATGAAATGTCCTTGCTATAAGTAAGTGAGTTATACCAAAATATATTCCTGTGTGTTTATTTGTTATATTCCCTACATATAGCTAGAATGGAGGTACATTCCTTTGTTCAGAGATTTTTGCTATATTGGTTGTGTTTATTGATTGAAATAAGAATAATCAGGTGATTAAGAATTTAGATGTGATATTGGTGTATTTTATGACATTCCCGAATTTTTTGGATTGGTATTGTGGCAAAGAGAGACTTTTGATCAGTTTTGAATTTTGAATTTAAATTAGACTTCTCAGACCCAGCAACAACCCAGTGTTTAGTAGAGTAGAATGTAGTCTTGTTTGTTGTAACTTAGTTGTAGTTTTCTAACTTTTTAATTTCTGCATGCTTCCTCACTGCTTTTGATAATCCCAGTAATAAAGTAACATTTTAAAAGAAGTCAAAAGAGGTTATTTCATCTAATGTATGTATTAGAGAGTGATATTTATTCTGAAAAGGCCACTCTGTTATAATTTACTGTCTTCTGTCTGTATAACTTCACCAATAATTGTGACAATTGGCTTGCATTTTATTTTGGCATAATTTTGTCGCACAAATGATATACAAGGGCCAGATATGTTCTTTTAAATCCATTTAAAATGCTGTAATAAAGGTCCTTGACGAATCTTACAGTTTCTTCACTATTCACAAATCATGTTTTTTATTTGCAATTCATCTGCACATCCAGATTAACATTTTAACATGTCTCAAATTTGTCAATTTTATGCACTCTTTCATCATCTATAACTCATGTTTTTAACATTTAAATGAGGTCCAAAACTGCCACTCATCATCATAGATGAATAGATGAAATCCAATCTGAAATATACCAATAGACTTAGTCTAAGACAGTAGAAAATAGAAGAAAGGAATATATTAGGTATAGGTCTGGTACCTTATTCTTGAAAACTTAACTTTAGATTATTCCAGAGTGTTCCAGTTATCTGATTGGTCAAACACTATAATCAATTTTATATTTTATTTTTCATTCAATAAGATAACATAATTCTTGAAATCTGGATTATATTTAAAGGGACATTCTGCTTTTTGTTAAAAGCGTTGTAAATTATACCTAAAAATATTTCTAAAGCATGCTATTTATATCTATGTATCTCCTTGATCAAACTGAATTTGTTTTTAAAGTGTTAATTAAAAGCTCGGGAGTACTAATTGTTAATAAAGCAGTTTGGACTAGTTTTGATTTTGGCTGTTAATGGCTCGATATTATTGATTAGAATACGTATGAGATATATTTCTCTACAATTTGGCGTTTATTTTACTCAAATCCGTAAAGTAGTTTTCTAACAGCTTCCAAAAAGCATAACAATCTTTAAGATACGTTACAGGACACATTTCTCCAGATTTTGGTGTATAGTTTTCACAAATTTGGACAAAAAAAACTTTCCGACCTACAAAAAAAAGCAGAATGTTCCTTTAAGTTAAGTTTTGGAGAATAAGGTCCCTTGACAAAAGTTTCTTCTTCTATTTTCTTTTATTTCAATAAAAACTCACTGGACCTCTTCTATTTCACCTGTTATTGTCTGTCCTATGGTGTGTTGCTAGTAACATCAACATGCAGGATTCTATTTCTGTTATAGATTAAAAAGAAAAATGTAAATATATCTTTAAAATAATATTAACCAATGGAAATTACTTACAGCATACATTCATGATTATCTTACAAAATTTCTGACAGATTTGGTCCATATTGATATCGGTGTTACAGCCAATCAGATGTCTAGAAGTTATCTGAATTAGGTATTCAAAGATGTTTCTAACCAGAGGACCCTAGATTATTATGTTCTATATAAAAGCTATGCCTGCATGCCTTTTGGTAATATATATATTATTTGCAGGGTTGTGTCACTTGTTTCAAGGTGGTAGAGTTGTCTATGTATTTCTTTTACTAGCACAGAGTGTTTTGGTGTACAGTTTGCGTACAATTTAATAAAAATGTACCAATATCATTACATCATTAGTGTTAACAGCATTAGATTATGTGGATGACAGCTTTGTCGATTCTCATCATTTTTTGATTAATGAATCTAAATTGAAGATGTACCAAATATCTGATTTCTATCCTGTATTTATTTGATATAAAAATCATTGAAATGGAGTTGTTTCAAGATTGATTCAAATATTCAGATATTAATACAAACAAACAGCTGAACAAGAGATCTATCAGCTGATAAAGAAAATATTTAGACAACTAGATCACTTAAAGGTAATGCCAAGTCAAAGACTGTTTTTAAGGATTTACAACCTCTAACCTCCAAATTATAATACCCTTATTCATGACAATTCTGAAAAGTGTACAGATTTTTTATTTTGGAAATTTGGAACTATCTTCAGAATTGAACTTGGCATTGCTTTCATCCTTAGGGTCAAATAAAATAACTTGGTATTGATCATCCTAATCTGATCTTCCCCAACTGATTATTTCATCAAAAAAATAATCAAAAGAAAGAAAGTGTCATAAAACAGTTCAAGAAATAAAGTGGACGCTTGCAGGCATTGGATCTAATTATATACATCTATTGTTTTAAGTCTTTGCCTTGTCATACTTTTGTTTAAAACAGCCTCACCCCTTCTGTATTTTAAAGAAAACAAATGTAGCCCACATTTGAAAACAAAAATTACTATAAATTCAAGGTAAAATAGGCTCAACGAAAGCGATTTTCAGCCATTAAAATTTTTGAAAAATTCCTCTTTTGGCAATTTAAGTCCTCAACCCCAAGGGTCACTAATCTCTGTTTTATTTGACCTTAAAATAGAATGGTTCATATTATGTTTTATTCTCATTTATTTTGCTTTTTTCTATTCCTTACTCAGTCATATGTAAGTTCAGCCCTTTTTTTTTTTTTGCCTTCACCTCTAGGTCTAACGTTTAATTATGGTGTGTTGCTGGGTTGGTCAGCTGTAAACGGAAGTGTTGATTGGCTAACTACTTTGCCGATATATTTTGGATGTTTAGCGTGGACTCTAGTTTATGACACGATTTACGCCCATCAAGTGAGTCTGAAAACGTTGCAAAGTCTTGAATGTTCTAATAGTTTACTGAACAAGTTACCAAGTTTGATTTGGATTCAATTTTTGAATTTTTGGGCAAATTTATTTCATTATTTTTGTTTGATTGTTTGGTTTAGGTTTCTTTCTGAAAATCTATTAAATGTTACAGAATGTCAGTTTATTGAATTTCACCAGACCAATTACCTAAACCTGTTAAAATAAAACAAAGTTTTTAATTGCTCTATATTATAGTTTGCCTTCAAATCCATGCCCAGTCGTGTCCCTTTCTATTTTTTCCGAATTCTATTGCGTAATCTAAGAAATTGACATTTTCCTTCAGAAATTGCCACAAAATCCTGGCCTTAGTCTGTTTTTCTAATCCTCAAATATCAATTTTCACCATAGAAAACTGTATTTGTATCGCATTCAATTTGCTCTGATATCTAATCTCTTGAAAATGTTGTTGCACAAGTTGGCGTGGTTATATTTCCTAATATTCAAATGTTATAATTTTTAAGGATAAATATGATGATATGTTAATAGGAGTAAAATCAACAGCGTTAAAACTAGGAGATCAGACCAAACCTTGGTTAGTTGGTTTCTCAACCATCACTATAGCTGGTATTACCACGTCTGGCTATCTTTGTCATCAAACATGGCCGTTCTATCTCGGTGTTGGTGCCATGGCAACACATCTTGCTCATCAGGTATTTAGGTTTTCTTTTTTAATAAGTGGTATAAACAGTATCTAGATCGATAAGATGTCACATCTAGCTGTCAGATAGCAACACAATTTTTCCTGTCATCTTAGACTCATTACCTCCCTTGACAAAATCATTGCACTCAATCACTGTGATTCAATGTCCAGTTTATTAACAATACATGTATTGAGCCCATTATTTTGTGTACCAATCATTCTCCCCAAAATTCAGTGTCTTATTTTGAGTGTCAATGACATATTTAAAATGCTTTGCAAAATAAGTTTAAAGAACAATATCTCTGTTTCAACTTTTTAATCACGAAATTTCATATTATTTCATTCTAGATATACACAGTAGACTTGAACAATCCAGACAGTTGTGCCAGTAAATTTCGATCTAATAACCAGCTGGGCTTGATGATGTTTCTAGGAATAGTGCTGGGTAACTTATATAAAACAGAAAACAAGGAAGAAGATGATGTTGAAGAAAATACATTTTGAGTTTCATTCACGTGAAGAGATATTAACTAGATTGAATATTTGCTTTACCTTACTATCAGTATTGCCTTTAGAATGAACATGACCTTGACCTACAGACTGAATACAACATAAACAATAGAGTTTCATTCTTTAGAAAGGATATACTTGTATATGTTAAAATCTGACACCTGATATCAGTAGTGCTTTTAGAATGAACAGTTGATGTCTGGTTTTCCTCCAGACAACTTGTCATAAGCCAACCAATGAATTCAGAGCATAGATTTACATTTACCAGAGGGATAAACTGGTTAGAATATTTGCAATACATTCTAATACCGTGTGGGCTAATGAAGACGGACAATGCCATGCAGGGTGCAACGAGGGAACAGTTTATTATCCCATCCAAACGACTAGACGCTTTTTCCATGTCAGCCCCTCTACCTGCATCACTGACAGGGGGGAAACAAGGTTGTCAGTAATCCCTTGAAAGATAAAAAAAAAAGTAAACAGTGCATATATTAAAGTTTATTTCCCCAGTTCTATAAATTAACAATATTTCACCCCCAATATGTACAAATTATATAACAACTGTAAATAAACAAAGCTTATATACTTTGAGTTTTGCTTCTTATTTATTATATAATTTAGAAAAAGATGTTTATGCACCAAAATTTAGCATGAAAACAAACAAACATAGCATTATAAATGCCTTTTTTCAGAAATAAACAAATTTTGTATCTGTATTGAACAATAGATAAAAATGTGTCATGTAAAACTTCTGTCTTATACTGCAATAGCCACTGTTCTTGTGTCACAGAAGTTTGTAAATGCAGCCAATCAGAGGCCTTGACATAAAGTCTGACGAAAAACAATAAGCCATAATGTTCAAGGGCTGATTGGCTGTACTCTCTGGATTACAATCCAATCAAATTGCTACAATCATTGATACAAGAAAGGAGGCTATATGCAGTATAAGGTAAAAGACGAATTTTGCAATAGCTTGAAGATACCAATACAAGTGTGTCTTATAAAACTAGCTAGCACTAGTAGATTGGAGTCCACGTTGTAATAAGTCAATCATGATGGGGTACACATCAGCATATTCTTTCCCTTGTCTCTGACGAACATTCTTCACATACGCTTCTAGAGCACCTCTACAATAGACATTAAAATAATATTCAAAATTGATATAGATGTGTGTGTTGTATAAACAAATAGAAAGCACCTAGCTATGGCATATCAGTGAACTATAAATTTCACTCTTTAAAGGAATATGGAAGAATTACCAAATGTGCCTCCTTCAGAATGTATTGAAAAGCTTTGACACTACTGGGACTACTTTACCTAAACCAACACGCATGCAAGTAGGATAGACAGACTTATAAAAAGCATCTAGTTGTTTGGATCAGACAATAAACCGAGACCCTCTGTGATACAGTTGGAAATCAACAAAGAGTAGGCTTCTATCTGATCTAGCAAATTTAACCTCATTGTACACTGTATGGTGTAGCCCATGTTCATCAGCCTTACCAGCTGCAGAAAAGTAGCATGCCTGGCCCACCCTGATTGCCAAAACAGGTTTAGAAATGTAGGATGTATAACTCTATTTCATTTCTTAATTGGGACCATGATAAATAATAAACCTACTTGATAAATTGCAGCCTGTCTGATTCCAGTGGGTGACTTTCTAACCATTGTGAGTAGCGACTGATTGACCAATCAGAGGCCTGGTGTGGTGATTTTAACTCGACAGGTGCCCGGGCAAATAGATAATGTAACACTGCACTGTAAGGAATGATTTCTCCTATAGCTGGACTCTTTATTAGATGTTCTGTTGTTTGGAATAATAACGGTCTGTAAAAGAAGAGAAGCAAGGATAACAAATTAAAATCCCATGTTACAAAATGGTCTTAATAAGATAACACATGATCTTCAGGCCACATATTCTCAAAATGATCTTAGCGCTAGGATGTCCTAGGTTCTTATCTTCTAACATTGAATCTAGGATGTCCTAGGTTCTTATCTTCTAACATTGAATCTAGGATATCCTAGGTTCTTATCTTCTAACATTGATTCTAGGATGTCCTAGGTTCTTATCTTCTAACATTGAATCTAGGATATCCTAGGTTCTTATCTTCTAACATTGATTCTAGGATGTCCTAGGTTCTTATCTTCTAACATTGAATCTAGGATATCCTAGGTTCTTATCTTCTAACATTGATTCTAGGATATCCTAGGTTCTTATCTTCTAACATTGAATCTAGGATATCCTAGGTTCTTATCTTCTAACATTGATTCTAGGATGTCCTAGGTTCTTATCTTCTAACATTGAATCTAGGATATCCTAGGTTCTTATCTTCTAACATTGAATCTAGGATGTCTTAGGTTCTTATCTTCTAACATAGATTCTAGGATATCCTAGGTTCTTATCTTCTAACATTGAATCTAGGATATCCTAGGTTCTTATCTTCTAACATTGAATCTAGGATGTCCTAGGTTCTTATCTTCTAACATTGAATCTAGGATGTCCTAGGTTCTTATCTTCTAACATTGAATCTAGGATATCCTAGGTTCTTATCTTCTAACATTGATTCGAGGATGTCCTAGGTTCTTATCTTCTAACATTGAATCTAGGATATCCTAGGTTCTTATCTTCTAACATTGATTCTAGGATGTCCTAGGTTCTTATCTTCTAACATTGAATCTAGGATATCCTAGGTTCTTATCTTCTAACATAGTAGCGCTAGGATCGTTTTGAGAATACATGGCCAGGATTCTTCAGCTGATCCTTGCCAGACATCTTGGCAATTATTTTATAAGGAAAAGCAACATAGGTTCTCAAAGATCAATTAATTCTTGGCCAAATCACTTAACCATGGTATTGCAAACGGTCATAACCAACCCCCCCTGCATTAATATTCTGATTGATAAAGGCCCTTTATTGTTGGAATGATGTATGAATATTTAGTTCTACACAAAACTGTAATACATGTACTAAACTATCGTGTCTAACTAGCTAGTAGATTGTTTTGTACAATGACAGTTTTTCTGTAGTCAGAATGGGACTAGAACATACCAAACTATCTTGTCTAACTAGCTAGTAGATTGTTTTGTACAATCTGTAGTCAGATTGGGACAAGAACATACCAAACTATCTTGTCTAACTAGCTAGTAGATTGTTTTGTACAATCTGTAGTCAGAATGGGACTAGAACATACCAAACTATCTTGTCTAACTAGCTAGTAGATTGTTTTGTACAATGACAGTTTTTCTGTAGTCAGAATGGGACTAGAACACAATTAATTACTAACCTGAAAGCACGTAAAAGTTTGTAAGTTTTCCCCATATCAGATATTCTACGACAAAATGGCGAAATTGCCAGTTCCATCTGAGCAAAATCTGCAGCTAGACGTAGTTTACCCCCGTCCCCTATAGGACGAATTAAACTAGCATGTCGAATAAACAACTCAGTGCATCTACATGCTAATGGCTGAAGACTGAAAAACAGTTTGATATACATGTAGATTTAAACAATGTGAATTTTCAAACATAATTTTTAGCACATGATAGGTGATTTGGGTGAACTATTATTACCTGGAGAAGGATTCAAATTAATAGCCCCGATTGTCAAGCAAACAACAATCCAACTGGCTACAGACTGAGATAACCCACTCCAATGAACGATCAAGGAAATAATAGGTACTGCTTCAATCATTTTCAAGCGCAAATTGAATATTTAAGTGATTGTAAAAAGGTTATATTTGTAAGGGGGACACTGACAACATAGATTAGCACCTTCCAAATTTTCAATCAGACGTCCATATTCTTGCAGTTCTACTAAAATTGAGTGTTATATGATGTCACTATCGCAAAGGCCCTTAGATATTATTAATAGCTTTAATGAGGGAATAGTAATATCCAGTATACCACCATTGTATTATACATACAAATGAATTCAATATCTACCTTTCCATGATAAATTGTTGACAATGGAACTGTGAGATATATTCTATAGAACATCTTGATACAAAACCTTGTAGTTCTCTCATGTATAATGAACAGGGTGCTTCTGTCTGACCAGCTGGAGGGGCTCCTCTAAAATACAATACAACCTTACAGTGAGTTTTGATTTAAATATTGTTTACTGATGTCCTGTATGTATATACGAAGGTTTCTAAACTGACAGCCTGTGCATCATTTATGACGCACCAAAGATCGCAAAGTAAAACACAATGGAATTTGAAAAAAAATTGACAAGGTGATTCATCAATTCCAAACATACGAGTGTAATGGCCTCTTAGTAAATTTACTTGACAAATCCTGGCTACAGGGCCACAAAACAATTCATATGCTTAGCTGAGTTTTTACTCAAGCTTATAATGCCCCTTGCATCAAGAAAAGATAAAACTTGAAGATTAATATGAAAACGCCAGAAACATTGTGCCTAAGGAATAGATTGATATATTTGTTATTTGATACAATCAGTTATACACCTGTAATAGCAGCTTCATATTTGAGTAAAATCTCAGTAAGGTATGAAAAAAGGATTGTGGCCATGGGGTGGCCATATGTTTGTCTGACCTTACTCTAGTATGATAAACTATAGATACACAACCCTGCAATATGATACATATATGCCAGCCATATTGTAAATCATGCATATCTATCAATTTACTGACTGATCAATCATATGACTGGGACACTACAATAATTATTATCAGAAACTTGTACTTGTGCCTTAAAATTTTTAAATTTAACACAATCAACTCACCCGGAGAAGTCCTCTTGATGTATGGTTAATATAATAGCTTCAAGAGCATCTAATATAGATGATAATAGTGGGTTAATAGCACTGCCCATCAATACAATGATACCCTAGAATTATAATAAAACCTGTATTTAATATAGATGATAATAGTGGGTTGATAGCACTGCCCATCAATACAATGATACCCTAGAATTATAATAAAACCTGTATCTAATATAGATGATAATAGTAGGTTGATAGCACTGCCCATCAATACAATGATACCCTAGAATTATAATAAAACCTGTATCTAATATAGATGATAATAGCAGGTTAATAGCACTGCCCATCAATACAATGATACCCTAGAATTATAATAAAACCTGTATCTAATATAGATGATAATAGTGGGTTAATAGCACTGCCCATCAATACAATGATACCCTAGAATTATAATAAAACCTGTATTTAATATAGATGATAATAGTGGGTTGATAGCACTGCCCATCAATACAATGATACCCTAGAATTATAATAAAACCTGTATCTAATATAGATGATAATAGCAGGTTGATAGCACTGCCCATCAATACAATGATACCCTAGAATTATAATAAAACCTGTATCTAATATAGATGATAATAGTGGGTTGATAGCACTGCCCATCAATACAATGATACCCTAGAATTATAATAAAACCTGTATCTAATATAGATGATAATAGCAGGTTAATAGCACTGCCCATCAATACAATGATACCCTAGAATTATAATAAAACCTGTATCTAATATAGATGATAATAGTGGGTTAATAGCACTGCCCATCAATACAATGATACCCTAGAATTATAATAAAACCTGTATCTAATATAGATGATAATAGTGGGTTAATAGCACTGCCCATCAATACAATGATACCCTAGAATTATAATAAATGAAATAATACGTTTTACGTCTTTTCTGCAGTACTATTGACTAGAAAAGATGGAGAGAAACTGTAGTCGCCCCTTGTCCCCCTGGGGTCGAAGTGGGTTAAGTCATGTAAGTCTTACTTTTCTGCATGTGTTTGGGCTAATGATGACAGGCAATGCCATGCAGTATGCAGAAAGGAAAACTTTGACAGCAAAACGCTATTAGTCTATTATTTTCTGCATTCATTCTGATCTCAGTTTAGTAAATGCTGGTATTCTACACTTAAATCACAGAGCTTAAAGATGTGTCAGGGAGCCTGTTTCACCTCAAAATCACATGGTAAGAATTTGTCATAATTATGAATATCAACATTGTGAAAAACCATACTACAAAATTGATTGTAAGATTTTTCATGAAATAAGACCCTAAAAAATGGACTGAGGAAACCCTACAGTAACAGAAGAAGACAAGAAAAATATTATATACCTTCTGTGATTCTATTATACTATCTATAGCTTCAACAGGAAAATGTTTAATACCTTCTACAACCTACAATAATATAATGAGGAAAATAAAATTAAATTAAATTTTTTCTGCACCTGTTTGAGAACGGGCAACCCCATGCACTGTGCAATGAGAATAAATTATAGCATTAGCCTTCTCTCAACCTCCATCCATTAAAAGGTCATTAATGTGCACACACACAGGGCCGTTGTTTATTGTCCTGTCAGATCAACTTATTCCCCTTTTTTTTAGCCTTTCCTCCAACCTGTATCACTGATGTTATACAATACAAACCTTGGTGACAGAGTCATGTAGTTGATATAGAGTGTTAACAACTGCAGCATTTCGTGTCTGTCCTACAGTGGGTGGTCCTATAACTTGACTAGCTTCTCCACCAGTAGCCAGCTACAATATCAAACAGTTTCAAATATAACTTGGATTAAAAGAAGGAGAGAATTTAACCTGGGCATGTATTTTCGAAACGATCTTAGCGCTAGGACGTCCTAGAATCAATGTTAGAAGATAAAAACCTAGGATATCCTAGCACTAAGATCGTTTTGAGAATACGTGGCCTGGTCTTTTTAGAAGAGATCTTTAATGTGCACATCCTGTGGCCGGATGGTCCCGATCTATTTTAAACATAACAAATGGCTAACACTTTTGCAAAATTTTACAGAAGATTTTGATGTTTACTTACCAACTGTTCACTTTTAACACAGAATAATTTGATGGTGTTAGCCACGTTTTTAGCTACAGTTATACTTAATTTATTATCTACAGTAGACACGTTCAACTCACTGAAAATATCAAAAAGATTATTACAGAACATCCAGGAGAATTTTCCTAGTCCCTCTACATTTCAAACTCTGAGTTGGGAGCACAAGTCTTGGAAAATAGATTAATTTCCTTCAAGCTTATATTAGATAACAGAGAAGCTAAAACCGGTTCAATATTTCATCCTCATATCCTCATGAGGCTACACATACCCAGTTTCATTGAATGACATGTAAATAATGTTGATAGACAGACAGTACAACATGGACGACGGCAATACATCATAGCGGGGATATAAAAAGCCATACTGCCTACCTGTTAATAGTTTTAATGATATTTTCAACTTCTTCAGGAGTAGGTGGATTAACATTACTAGAGAACACCAAGTTGATAGGATCATGAAGTCGAGACAGAGACTTGGATAAATAGGCTGTTTCAAATTTACTCAACGTATTTCTTAAAGCCATCTCAGAACTGTAAGAAAATTAATTCAAAATGGAAGTTAGTCAAAGTTAGCCTGTGTGGTTTTGAAATATATCTTAAACATTACCGATACCAATATGATCCAATAAATGCTAGATAATTTTCATGAAAAGCCCCATGAATGACCTGTAATTGCATTTATAGTGAGTTTAATTTTATTATTTATTATTTCCAATTATAACTGATATCATTATGACCCAATAAACACAGTTTTAAATCATGTCATCCTCCACTTGTAATTATTGCTTGATTAAGACATGTATATATTTCTTAAAATTCAAATATTCTACTTACTCATAAGTGTCTTTAGAATTAGATCTAGCAGACACCAAAAAGAAATTGTCATGGCTACCATCATCATCTGTTAAACCAGGATCAAGGTTACTACTAGCTGTTACCATGGAAACAGAGAACTGATGCAGACGTTTCCATAAATCATTATATAACCGTAGTAACTTGGGGTATTCTCCTTCAAAAGCTTGCTTCAGAAATGGTGAACCTAAAAGCATATGATAGAAATTTTAAAACTCTTACACAGTCCTTCCCTTGTGTTAAAAGTTTTGTAGGTTTTTGTCACAAATTTTGTGATGTTTTTACTGAACAAGTCTTGTCATATCAAGTGGTTAAAGACTATCAGAATATACCTAAAAAAATGGTGTTTTACATCTCATTTTTTTGATAGAAATTTGGCTAATGGAGACAGTAGGCACATGCACTGTGTTCTTCCAAAAATCAGCCAATGATTTGCTCTCAGAAAACATGAACTAAACAACCAATCTATTTTATCATAAATGTTGCCAGAAATCAATTCAATTTGGGGTACTAAAAGTATATCAGCTAAAACTTTGTTAGACAATTAAATTTCACTTACCACTGGCAGCGTCAGTAAATTCTGTTAACAACATGGCTGTTACAGATTCCCAGAATTCCTGCATAAAATTTACATCCCCGTTTCTATGCTGAAATAATCAAGAAATATTGGTCATAAAACTGAGACCTTAATAGTAGTAGTCTAGATCACAAGGTAAAATATCAAAACTAAGAGCGTTTTGACGGCCAAATGATTCCAAATTTGTTTATTCCAAATGTGGAGGAATGTTTAACATGTACAGCCTGCAGCGTTTCTTGGAATAACTTAACAGTATAGTTCTAATACTCTACTGTGAAATACTGACCATAGCTAATTCTTCTATAAAACAAACATGAGTAACAGGATCTCTCTTTTTCACTAAAACTTTCTGTAAATGTTGAATCTGTAACAGAAATGATCAATTTCTCAAATTAAATGATTATAAAAGAACTCATTTTTTGATTTTGGATTGACATTAGATGTTTTCTTAACTCAGAGACAATGATAAAATTGATTTTCACTACTCCAATTTTCACATTTTCAGTCAGATATCTATGTTTCTTGCAATTCCACTGAAACTAAGCTTTTTATGATGTCACTATTGCAAAGGCTGCTATAATTTTTCTTAAACTATTATATCAGAAAATAATATATAAAAATTCGAAGTAATTTTATTGACCTGAGCACAAGAGGCATAAATATTGTCCATCAATTTCTCCATATTGGTCCATAGAGTAGCTCGGAATGCAGCAGTATTTCCTGGTGTAGGCATGGCAGCTCTTCCAGGAGCACCTGTAAAATTGAAAAATTAAAGATTAGCAGGTGATTTTCATTACAATTGATACAAGAATCCAAGTCATGGTCATGTTGATAGCATAATATGATTAAGTTTTTCTGGAAACAGGATTCACAGATCACATTAATAAAAGTAAATTTATTACTGGTATATGTCACAACAACTATCCCCAGGATTACAATGTCCTTCTCTTAGTTTCTAGTCTCTAGAACCCAGCTCTCAGCCCTCTAGCTCCAAGTAATCTACCTTTATTGGACTGTGATGTAGAAGTGTAGATAGAGTTGTAGAGTTTTACCACCAACAATGTTCAAATATTACTATGTAGCATCTCCTTCACACTCAGTCTCTAATCCCCACCCCTTAGCCTCAAGCCCAACACCCTCGTCTAGCCCCCAGTTAACCTACCTTTATTGGACTGTGAAGTAGAAATTAATTTAGCATCCAGCCCTGTTCTAATATTACTATGGAGAGTCTCCTTCACACTCAGTACAACTTTATCTACCACATTATGAAGGGAACCCAGGTTGTGAAAAACTTGTAAAGATGTTGATACTTGGGCTTGATTCTGGTAGTTAAAAAATCAAAAATTCCATTTTGAATAACGATTGTTTTTTAATAATTTCTAGAAAATTGTTAAGTTTAACATTATTGTGGACAACTATCTTCAAATGAAATAAACATACTATATGGCAACTAAGAAACTCAATTATTGACTTGCTCCATGCTGCTGACAATGTTTCAGATATAAAATCCTCATCCGGACAGCTATATTGATAAAGGGGGTTAATTTGTATATAAGCAGAGGATGTTAAATAGATTGCAATACCAGAAGCAAATTGGCATGCTAGGGTTTTAGTAGTTCAGCCACCAAACACAACACAATACAATAGCCTGGTGATAAAAAATCTTCATCAGGACAGCTCTTTTGGTAATGAGCATAACTTTCCAAAATAAGACTTGAGGTGGATGAGCAAAGCAGGCATACTCACTAAAGATAGTGGACCACAGCCATATACGCCCAACACGGCATGCGGATAGTAAATATTCAAGATTTTGGGGCAAGGGCAATAACTCTGCTTCTAACGGTCGAAAATAGCTCAAATTGATCTTCGTTTTATGAATAGGAATACATATACCGAATTTCATTTGATTCAGAGCGTTTACAAGCAAATGTTGACAGACGAACCCACGGACCTACATAGAGATGTGGGCGTATAAAAAGGAGATAAATTGCTATAAACTGACCTGTGTTTCCATGCCTTGTTCTAACATTTTCTGGGCCTGAGATTCCACTTCCTTCCTGGCCTGTTTACAGAATCTTCTATCTTGTTCTATTATCTCAATACCAGTTAGATCTACACCTTCACATACATAATCTAAAAATATATAAATACAAAATAGATCTACTTTAATGACTCAACTCTCCAACATGGATAGGAAACGAGTACTAAAAATACCATCTTGGCCTTTACAGCCTAAAACCTGGGACCTGCATAGTAAGTTTATAGTTGTGTTCCATAAACCTCAATTGAAAAAACTGTCTATTCAATACACTAAGCTTTCTTACCTAGTTCATTCAGACTCTGAGCAGCTTTAGTTATTTCTCGTGATCCACCCTGTAGTTGGCCGTGTAGACGTTTACTTAGATATATGATTCTTATAATTCTTCTTAAAATATCACATGTTTCCTGTAAATAACCAATTGTAATCATTCAGAATCAAAGTAATCTCAGTAGAATCTCCAAAAAATTTGATTCAGAAACATTTTTTGTATTAACAGGAATGATGTATTATGGAATACCATTATTGATTCAAGACCCTTTATCAAATATATTTCTGTAAATTCTAAAATACCTCGTTACATAAACTTTTTTAAAACATCAAAGAGAACTGATTTGAAAATCAGACAAGTTATTGAAGACATTTTCTTTGTTATGGATAAAATCCATTCTCAATCTAATTCTAATTCTAATCTAACCCCTTCTACTAACCTGTAAATGTCGAAGTTGAGTTGTTCTGGCCAATATTTTATTGTAGGGTTCATTTACCTTCGATCTGACTCGATCCATGGCGGCCAGTAACGACTGAATTCTGGTCTGCATCATCTGTAACACCCCTGATAACAAAAACACAATCCATGTAATACCAATTATTGAACAATAGAACAACCCCACATACAAATAAGAAGTTTTTTAAGTCCTACTGCTCATTTAAAATGCTCTCTTCAAATTATAAACAAAAATACAATCACATAATGATAATTAAGAAATTTATGGTTAATAAATTTCAAAATTGTCAAAAAATATCATTGCTCAACTTTACCTTCAAGAGTTTCCACACTGGTGGCTTGAGATAATAAATCTCCATGATGGGTCACAATCTAAAACATAAAACAAAGTAATCTAATTCCACACCAAGACCTATTTTGACATGCCATAATATTCCATATATTGTTTTGGAAGTAGATTTCTGTTGGTTCATGTGTAGA